ACAAATTGAGTTGGCAAAATTATTATAAGAAATACACTTTAAGTAAATATCGTAGAACTACAATTACAATTGAAATCATTTAAACATTCTCTGTTCTATTATAATTAACTCATATTTCATGTTGATACATTATCACAGTGGAAGCAACAAATCTTATCCAATCGTTTAGTCTCACTCTAAAATCATTTTTTCAAAATAGAACCCACTACGACATCAACATCCACGACAACAACAACAACTGCTACAGGTCTGTTGGTGTATTTCATTTGATTTGATAGTAATTAAAATCATTTTTATTTCAAGCTCAACTCTCTCTGTACGGTGTTCAGCTCAATCTCGATCCCTTGTCACTACCAAGTGGATGGTCTCTGTGTTACAGTGCAACATATGCAGACTCCCTGGCTTCAACTGTTGTTGCAACAGTATTAGCTACATGTAATAAAAACAAATTATTACTTGGCTGTCGACCAGTCGCAAATACGATATTGACCGTAGCAGCGATGGGTAATCGTGCTGATGTTCTTTACAACTGTAGTTCAACATCAACTTGTACAAATGTTGTTAATGGAGTCGGATGGTATTTTTCTGATTCATATTCATGGGGTTTTGTACGTGGTAGCGATACAGTGACACGAGACAGTTGTGATACTGGAACTAGTAACGATGCGTATCGCTTATGTTGGCATACTTTAGCTGTGGGTGGGTACAGATGCGGAAGCACAGTATCATTGAATTCAGATTCAACTTGGGCGAAAGTTATTTATCATTCCAATTAATCAACACTAATCACTCTTGTCTGAAAAAAACGCCTTATTATTTCATTTCATTGTATCGCTTTACTCGAAAAATCAATTTCAAAAAACAATATTCGCTAAATGTATTTCTACTTATAAAATCTTGCTTTTTGTAAACAATTGATCTTGATAAATATGACAAAACTATACAAAAATTAAGTAATAAAATATCATAGTAACATACCATTTTATTCAAGAACTAAAGACATAGACAAACAAACAAAGATAAAATTAATAGTTTCTAATTGTCCTGTTATTTTTATAAGTGCCTATAAAGTTGCTCTCGATATAATTTTTCAAGTAGTGAAAACTTGTCAACCATGCTAGATCTATCCGATTACAGCTCACAAACATAACCAAATACATATTTAAAAAAAGCATTACTAAATTTGTGATCGTCTTTTAGATAGTTGCTTTAACTCTACAGCTTGATTCTATATGAAATACTATAACTTATATGATTTTTTTTCAATTTGCAGATGCAATAAAAATGAATCGTAATCGAGGAAGAGTTCGACACAGTTTTTGTGCGATTTACTACCAAAAACTATGTTCAATTTAAACATTTATTGAAAGTAGTTTTTATTTTCTAAATGGCTCGAATTCATTGAATTGAATGCTAATGCAGGTATATATATACCGATAAACAATTTCTTGCATTTCTTGCCTTGAAATCATTCATATTAAGGTCATGCGTTATTGTAAGAGCATGATTCACCTATCCACGTTGCATGGTGAAAAATTATGAGTCATATTTACCTTTTTTCTTTTTCTTATTTTTCGAAATTTTGTTGCCATAATATTTTTTTTGCTACGGTCAATATATTTAATACAAAATGGAGTGTATTTTGAATGCGAAGACAAACGTTTATCTACCAAAAAATCTTGCTTCTTTAACAAAAGATCTCGATACAGATTATTATTATTATGATAATGAAAACAATACACTCAATTGTAAAATATTAATGAAAACCCCGTATTACTCATATTTTAAACAAGTGTATCCACTTAAAATCAATGAATATGAACTGACAGATGATATGATAGATGTCTTAAAATCTTATACGAATAGTCAATCAAATGAATGTTATATGAAAACCAATTTAAATTTATTAAGTGCTAATTTAAATGAAGTTGATTGGATTTATGTTAATAAATTACGTTCATTAATACGAGGTTTAAACCAATCAGATATTAAGCATGTATATTATCGTGGTTTATCATTAAGTGATAGAGAAATTCAATATTATTTAGATAAAAGAAATGAATATTACTATACAAACTCATTTACATCATTTACTATAGATCGTTTACTTATTTATTCTGGTAGTGCTGTATTAATATTAAGAACAGATACTTGCAGTGAAAAAGCAAAGATAAATATAGCAAATATATGGAAATGGAGTACGTTTATGCATGAAAAAGAAGCACTTCTAGGTGTTGGAACAAAACTAAAAATTTTAAGTGTCCATTTTTTTGGTTCTAAATGGGAAATTGAGGTTGAATTGGCAGAAGATGATATAGATTTTAGTTAAAACAATCAAAAAATCAAATAAATGTAATCAATATGTGAGGAAAAAGAAGTTGTTTACTATTCTTTTTCAACCATATGAGATTAACTTTTCTTATTCAAAGAAAAAGAAATAAAAAAGAAAGTCTATATTATTCATGAAGCTAATAAAGTTTTGAAACCATAACTGCTAATTTATTGTATTTACGACTTTACTAAATCAAATATATATATATATATATATGAATTTATATGTCGTTATCAATATTCGAAAGCTTGTGAATCGAAATTGAAAAAATATATAGTACTTTTTTGCATGAAGTGTTTACCTCATTATCAATTATGTTTTCTACTTGTTTTTTTACTAAGATGATATCTTATCTTATAACTCGTCCTATTCATATATTTTTATTATCAGTTTTATTTTTACCTCTAACGATATTCATGATGAAGCAAGTAATACACAGTTTTCTTCTTTTTTGTTTCGTATTGAAAATATCTGTCTATTTTAACTATTATATAGATTGCTGTGCTATTTATTGTTTTTACTCTTTCGTTCTTCATAACGACTTCTTTTGGGTTGCGTACTGCAAATAAAAATATTGGTAATGTTGTGTCACTCAATATTGAAAATGCAAATACTGGCCAAAAGATTCCCACTACAATGCATGGTGTTATTTTGGAAACAAATGTTAATAGAGATGATGATGGTGGTTTGTATGCAGAACTTATCTATAATCGTGCTTTTCAAGGTTTAATATTTTTTCCGAATATGTTCTCAGAATACTCTATGATGTTTGATTAATATTTAGAAAATGGTCGATCACTTGATGGATGGTCAACCTTCGGTCAAGGATCTATTAATCTTAATATTAGTCAACCTTTAACGAGTGCTTTACCTGCTCAATTGAGATATTCACTCATTACAAATTCAACATCAGTCTCTGGTATTAGAAACAGTGGCTATTATGGCATAAATCTTCAAGCGCAAAATTATACAGCAAGCTTTTTTTATCGATCCTTACCAGGAGTATATGTACCAGGTGGTAAACTAAATGTTGGATTTAGCGACTCAACTGGTCAAATTATTTATGGTATATCTACTCTAGATATATCCAAAGCTCCTATCAATATTTGGTTCTATTATTCCTTCGACATTATTGTCTTTAGTGCTGCTCCATCGACCAAAAATTTTTTCTTTATTGAATTCCCTCTGGGTTCTAAAGGTGAATTTGAATTTAATCTTATCTCGTGTTTTCCACCGACATATAAAAATCGACCTAATGGTGCTCGTTTTGATCTTGCACAAACTTTTGCTGATTTAAAACCTGGCTTTATTCGACTTCCTGGTGGTAATGATCTCGAAGGTCCAAGTATTCCAGAACGTTTTATTTGGAATAATACAGTTGGTCATCTTGAAAATCGACCCGGAAGACGAGGTACATGGGCAGGCTATAATACTGAAGGATTTGGATTGATTGAATTAATAACATTTGCTGAAGATATTGGTGCAGTACCTATCTTAGCAGTTTATGCAGGATATTCACTCGATGGAAAAGCCGTTCCACAAGATCAGCTTCAACCTTATATTGATGAAGTTGTGAAAGAATTAGATTTTTTAACTGCATCTGCTAATGATAATAGAATGGGTGCTCTACGCAAGCAATTGGGTCGAAGTGAACCATTCGACATCAGATATGTAGAAATTGGTAATGAAGATTGGCTTGGTCCTGCTATAAATACATATGATTATCGTTGGACAACCTTTTATAATGTTCTTTCCAAACGATATCCTAATATTACTTTTATTGCAACGACAGCTAAGACTATCAATTCTCCACCAGCTGTTGATGATCATTTCTATCAAGTACCATTATTTTTTATAGAAAACTTTCGTCGATATGAAAATGTTCCTCGATCAGGTCCAAGAGTACTCATAGGAGAATTTGCAGTTATTAATGATGATGATTCACAAATTACGAATCCATTTGGACCAGGTCGACTTGTATATCCATCTATTAAATCTGCTGTTGCAGAATCAGTCTTTCGAATTGGTTTTGAACGTAATTCAGATATCATTATCGGTGGTTGTTATGCTCCTATTCTCCAAAATATTGATAATACACAATGGACACCAAGCTTCATTGTCTTCAATACTACTTCAGTTGTTAAATCAACTTCATATCTTGCTCAAAAAATGTTTGGTGAAAATCTTGGTAATCTTATTCTTTATTCAGCTGCGACTAATAATACCATTACTCATCAATCTGTAGAAAAAGGACAAGAAGGAGATGGTAAACTTGGTAATCTCTATTTTATTGCAACAAAACGTACTAATGACAATACATTAATCGTTAAACTTGTAAACGTGGATCCGACTGATATTCTTATTAACGCTCAAATACAAGGTTCCACAACGTCATCTACAGGTGTTGCTTATATTCTAACAGCTGGTTCTGGTGTTGATCCTTCAACAGTACAAAATACAATGCTTAATCCAAATGCAGCATCCATTACTGAACAGTCTGTATCAGCAAGAAATGGTACCTGGTCAATTACAGTTCCTTCATGGAGTGTTGTCGTTGTTACACTTACTCTTTAATTTTATTTCCAAAATTTACTCGCAAATAAACTAATTTGTTTTCGACTATAATATGTATGCTTAGTATAAAGTAATAATTATTTACATAATTCAATAATAATAAATGAATGAATCAGATTACTCATAGAATTTTGTATTACGCAATTTGAGTTTTGATGTATTTATTTATCTTGTGAAAGCCTGCATTATCGATATTCTTCTACAGTTTAAAGGCATCTCATAAATGAAGAAAATGTAATTATACGTATATACCATTATCAAATATGAATAAAAAGAATCTTGATTGTTCATTTGTAAACAATAATTTGTAGAGCATCTCGATGATGTTTGCTTCTAGTGATTAATGAATTTAAAAAATGTACGACTACAAATAAAAATATTATATTCGGGAGTGATCGTCGATTTCTATCTCTTTCCAAAACAGAGTCATACACCATATAGTTATTGATCGAAGACTATGATAAAAAACTGAAACCATTCATCTATTTAAGATAAATTTTTCAAAGTTCGAATAAATAAGAACTACACCGATATTTCATTCATCGAAGCACTAGGCTTAATAATAATAGTTACCGTCGATCGTTGATTTTTGCCAAATTATATGGCATATTTTCGATTTGTTTTAACAGATCTTTGAATAATTGAGCTTTCTCTAACTATTTGTCCTGTATGAAAGATATTGACATTTGTAGGCAAAAGATAAGAATCTATGATGGATTGATAATATTTTGAGTATACCTGATTAGAACATTCGGTAATGAAAGTTTAAATCTTTTTTGTATAAAGAATTGAGCTCAAAATTTATATGTGTACTGGCATTAATTAAACGTATATAATCGAAATCCTGTAAAAATGCCTTGACGATAAGAATTAAATTGAATAAATATTATGCGACATAGTATAGGCAAGATGAAATATACAACATACATGGTAACTTTCAATAATGTTTGAAAAAAAACCTGTTTGCGTTATCTAAAATCAATAACTATTTTTACTCTAATATCATATGAAATTTACTAATTCATATATCATAATAGTTATTTTCTCTATATGCTATTTTCGATGATTTTGTCGTTTTTTTATTGATAATCAATTAAGATAAAATATCTGCAGACTTTCATCTCTAGCAGATATTGTAATGCATAAAAGTTATAAAAAGTCGCTTTATTAACACAACTTCAATAATCAAAACTTTTCATTTTAAAATACTAAGGTAAATAAAACAGACAAAGTTATAATATCATTTTATCTTATCTTTATAATGTTTATGCGTATATGAGTAACAGTTATAGTCTATGTGTTTGAATTTATTCAACTGAAATTTTTATTAACGAACTAGATTACATAAATATATTATGAAAGATTTGAAATATAGTATATTGATTTGGTTTATAATTACTTTTATTCCATCTATAATATCAATTCGATTTGGAACATATAATATTCAATCGGGTAGTAATTTTGAGCATGTTTACAATTTAACAGAAACTGCTGAAACAATAAGACGTCTTGAAGTTGATATTATTGCATTACAAGAAGTCGATAATATAACAATACGTCATCCAATAGATCAAACAACATACATTGCTCAATATAATAAAAAACAACCTTTTCAATATTTTCATTTCGAAAAAATGAGAAATTTTCAAAATGGTGGTTATGGAATATCAATTTTGTCAAAAGAAACATCTATTAAACGTGTATTAACATATCATTATAATAATACAACAGCCGAACAATGCACAGTACAAAAGGAAGGTGATTATTGTCAAGGTTTTATATTATTTGAAATTCCATTTAAATATCAAGATAATACTAATTTATCAATTTATTTTGGTACAACTCATTTAGGTATCGGTCTAAATGGTTTACAACAATTAAATGAAGCTAAGCAAATTGTTCAATGGATGACTGATAATATTATAAATGTTAGTACAAATCCTTATATAATATTGATGACAGGTGATTACAATACCATTCCAAGTGATGATTCAATTAAAAATGTGATGCTTTCTTTATTTGATGATTTATGGACAGCAGAAGATATTTGTCAAAAAATTATAGATCCATCTAATATTAATGGATATACATTTGATGCATTGAATCCATCGAAACGAATTGATTATATATTTAAATTAAAAAGCTCAAATTTTCCTGATCAAATTAAATTGAATTGTAAAATTCAAGTTGTTTCAACATTATCATCCGATCATAGACCAGTTATATTAAATTTTGACTTATCTTAATGATAGATAATATTAAATGCAGCAGTTTCTTTTTTCATAATTTTCTTTGTTCATTTAAATAATGAATTCATTATTTGATAGGAAGAGAAAATGAATAATTATAGGGTGTAAGTGTGTGTAAAAAACGATCACCCATTTTTCGCTTCAGTCCTTTTGTTTTAATAAATTCCTTTTGGCCATTTAACAATAAAACGACGTATGAATAAGAGAATAAGCATTTTCTCTGATTGAATCATATTTCTTTTTCTATTTAGTTTCAATGATAAAGTGTCGATACAGCATCTTGACTTACAACAATAATCGTTCAGATAAGGCAAAAAACCTTGAAAATAATTACTATGAAACGAAATCATTTTATTGACCTTTGCTTTGTTTTCATTCTTACTTCCCTCAAATTTCTACTTTTCTCTCATACGTCTTCCACACTCCACATCGCAATCTCACCTTCATACATTTTGTTTGTTTTGTTTCATCATCCTCATATTGTTTCTCCTCCAGTTTATCTTCGACTCTCTAGATTGAAAAAGTATATATTGTTGGGATTTTGTCTTGCTCGAGTGTATGTTTGTCATCTTGTTTTGCTGTTATCTGGCTGATACTTAAGAACTCATTACAACATTGTTAAGAAATTTGACTATATTGGTCTGTCTCTTGCTCTTCACAGCAGTACTCTAATAGACATCTAGTTGAAGTTTCTACTTGAGTCTCAGCAAGAAAATCGGTGAAAAACATCATTGTCATGATAAATAAGAGTAACGAATTTTCTTACCATTTAGATAACAACAATTATTGACGAGCTTATATTCAATATCAAATTATAATAAGGAAAAAAATGAGTGAATCTGGGTCAAATCAAGAAGCGTCTTCATCATCATCAAATGCGTTCATGAATAGCAATGATACAACAACAATATCATCTGATGTTATTCAACCACGACGGAGGATGATTCGAAACTATTCACTCCTCTGGTTAGACGAGTGTGTAGATCAAACACTCAAAGATTATGAAAATACATTAAAACAAATACGAACTATTACTAATGATGTCAATATCTTTAAGCAACGAGATGAATGTATTGACTTTCTTACAGATCTTGAAGAAAACATCAGGCTTTTCCTCGTTATTAAGGATACTGTATCTCAACAAATAATGCCCTTCATTAATGATATTCCTCAGCTGCATGGTGTTTATATCTTCAGTGATATGGAAATCTTACATGAAAAATGGATAAAACAATGGCAAAAAATCAAGAGTGTTTATACTAATATTGATAACTTATGTCAAAGATTACAATTAGATATCAAGCAGTTAAATCAAAATTCGATTGCCATGAGTTTTATCACACAGAATGAAACGATTTCAAGTGATAAATTAAATCAGTTGGAGCCAACATTTATGTACACTCAAATATTCAAGGATATTCTTCTTGATATGGAACATGATGCACAGGCCATCAAACAGTTTACTGCTTATTGTAGACATCATGACTGCGGATCGACAAAGTCTATTGATGAATTTGAAAAAACATACGATGCTGAGACAGCTATTTGGTGGTATACTTGTCCATCATTTATCTATTCCATGTTGAACTATGCTCTTCGCTCTATGGAAGGCGAGACCATTATTAATATGGGCTTTTTCATTCGTGATCTTCACCAACAACTTCAACAGCTACAGCAAGAGCAAATTAGTATTTTCCATGACAAACCATTCCTAGTCTATCGTGGACAAGGTTTATCCAAAGCAGATTTTGAAAAACTCCAAAAAACACAAGGTGGTTTAATATCCTTCAATAACTTTTTATCCACTAGTACAAAACAATATATACCTCTCGGACTTGCTTCAAATGCATCCGAAACTGCAGACATGGTCGGCATTCTTTTCAAGATGTTGATTGATCCTCATGTGGAATCAGTGCCGTTTGCTTCCATAAAGGCGATTAGTTGGTTTCCAGGAGAAGATGAAATTCTCTTCTCGATGCACACTATTTTTCGGGTGGGTGCAATTAAACAAATGGAGAATAATACTCAACTTTATCTAGTTGAGCTTCAATTAACTTCGGACCATGATCAAGAACTACGACTACTTACTAATCGGATCCGAGAAGAACTTTTTGGTGATAATGGGTGGGAACGACTGGGTGATTTATTGCTTGTAATTCGCCAAGTTAATAAGGCTCACGAACTTTACAACATTTTATTCGAAGAGACGGCTCATAACGGCAAAAAAGCGCATTATTATGATCAGCTTGGACAGGTCAGCTATTGTCAGGGTGATTATGAAAAGGCTATTTGGTATTACGAACGCGCATTTGAAATTAGGGAAAAAACTCTCCCTTTAAATCATCCTGATTTGGCCACTTCTTACAACAACATCGGTTTGGGGTATCAGAACATAGGAGAATATTCGAAAGCACTTTCGTTTTGCGAACAAGCAGTTGAAATACGACAAAAAACTCTTCCTTCAAATCATTCGGATTTGGCTATATCATATAACAATATCGGTTTGGTGTATACAGGCATGGAAGAATACTCGAAAGCGCTTTCATATTATGAAAAAGCACTTGAAATCTTTGAAAACAACCTTCCTTCAAATCATCCTAGTTTGGCTGCATCCTACAACAATATTAGTTTGGTGTATGACAAGATCGGAGAGTACGTGAAAGCCCTTTCATTTTGCGAACAAGCACTTGAAATATATCAAAAAACTCATTCTTCGAATCATCCATCATTGGCTACTTCATACAACAGCATGGGTGATTTGTATAACAACATGGGAGAATACGCAAAAGCACTTTCATGTTACGAGAAATCACTTGAAATTCGACAAAAAACGCTTCCTTCAAATCATCCTGATTTGACTACTTTATACAACAACATCGGTGGTGTGTATAACGAGATGGGGGAGTACTCAAAAGCAGTTTTATCTCATGAAAAAGCACTTGAAATCTTTGAAAACAACCTTCCTTCAAATCATCCTAATTTGGTTGCTCCATACAACAACATCGGTACTGTGTATAACAAGATGGGAGAGTACTCAATATCACTTGCATTTCACGAAAAAGCACTTGAAATTCAACAAAAAACGTTTCCTTCGAATCATCTTAGTTTTGCTGCTTTATACATCAATATCGGTTCGGTGTATAACAAGATGGGAGAGTACTCAGTATCACTCTCATTTCACGAAAAAGCACTTGAAATTCATCAAAAAACTCTTCCTTCAAATCATCCTCATTTGGCTGCTTTATACATCAATATCGGTTCGGTGTATAACAAGATGGGAGAGTACTCAGTATCACTTTCATTTCACGAAAAAGCACTTGAAATGTGGCTAAAAACTCTTCCTTCGAATCATCTTTATTTAGCTATTTCATACATCAATATCGGTTCGGTGTATGACAACATGGGAGAGTACTCAAAAGCACTTTCATCTAATGAAAAAGCACTTGAAATGTGGCTAAAAACTCTTCCTTCGAATCATCCTTATTTAGCTACTTCATACAGCCAAATCGGTTTGGTGTATGACAACATGGAAGAGTACTCGAAAGCACTTTCATCACATGAAAAAGCACTTACAATTCGAGAAAAAACTCTTCCTTCAAATCATCCTGATTTAACTACTACATACAACAACATCGGTGGTGTGTATAATAAGATGGGAGAATACTCGAAAGCACTTTCATATCACGAAAAAGCACTTGAAATTCGGCGAAAAACTCTTCCTTCAAGTCATCCTGATCTGACCACTTCATACAATAACATTGGTTTGGTGTATGCTAGCATGGGAGAATACTTTAAAGCACTTTCATTTTACGAAAAAGCACTTGAAATTCAACAAAAAACCCTTTCTTCAAATCATCCTTATTTAGCAACTCTACTCAACAACATCGGTACTGTGTATGACAATATGGGAGAGTACTCGAAAGCACTTTCATCACATGAAAAAGCACTTACAATTCGAGAAAAAACTCTTCCTTCGAATCATCCTGATTTAACTACTTCATACAACAACATTGGTAATGTTTATAAAAATATGAAAAGCTATCCGAAAGCACTTTTATATTATGAACGTGCTCTGGACATATGGCAACGTGCATTACCTGCAACTCATCGTCGTATAATAAATGTGAAAGAGAACATTGAAACTGTAAAAAAGAACTTATAAAGAATATTTTGTTTACTTATGTTTGAATTAATTTTACTGCTTAGTAACTCACTCATAGATCAGAGAATAAATCGATAAATAACTAAAATGCAATGAACAAAGCCGACTGATAACGTAATTCGTATACATTCATGTATGTATAAATAACCTTCTCAGGCATATTTACGTTTCTAATTATTTACGCGAATATTTTCTGTAATAAATAACGAAAAGAAAAATATTGCCTTATATAGTAGTCGTGGAGTAAAACAATCGAAAAAATGAGTAACATACATGAAATTGAATTGTTTCTACTTTCCTTCCATACGCTTGAGTCAAATATACGTTAATAACAAAAGAAAATGTGTACTTTGATAAAAATTAGATCACGAAGATTATTTATTGAAAATCTGTTAATTATGATAAGATTTTAGTATGTATGTGTTCATTGAATTGATTAATACAAACTTTGAATAAATCGTTTTATCACATGTTATAAATGAGAAAAGGACTTGAAAATGTACGCAATAAATTAAAATGCAAGTCATTGTATATATGAATAACAGTCAGCATAAAATTCTTATCAGTAACAAATAAAGGTAAGAACAATAAAACAAATTCTTTTTTTTTATATTTCGTATCACTTTTGACTTACATTACTAACAAAATACGAATAATATTCTTTGTTAAACACTACAATAAATGAAAACAAATAATTCAATACCTAATACTGAATTAGGTGAATCAAGTAATAGTCGATGTTCATCATTACGTCGTTTACCTAAATCATGGATTATTTGCGGAATTATTTTTTATTGTGCATCTCTTCTCACTGTTGGTCTATTAGCTGGTCTTCTACCACGACGAACACAATATATAACTATAATTGAGACACAAACATCAACAACAACTACACCAAATCCAACTCAATGTATTGAAGATGAATGTAATTCACGTTTATTAAGTGATTTAAACGTTAATAATTATGAATTACAATATGCATGTCATGATTTAAAACAAACAACAATGGAAGGACAAGTTACAATTGATTTTAATTTAAGAAAACCAATAAAACAATTAATTTATCATGCAAAAGAAATGATTCAATTAGAAGAACCAATTTTATTCGAAAATGATATGCAACATTCTATTTTAATAAAAAAATATCTTCCACATGATTATATAAGTTTACGTTTATTAAATAATTCTTTATTTCCAATGAATCGATATAAATTAATGCAAAAATTTGTTATTAATTTAAATAATCCTAGTATTGGATTTTATCAAAGTTTTTTTAAAGATAAAAATCGAGCAAATGGGTAAATCATGATCTTGAACATTTATATATAAAAAGATAAGGAGACTTTTTTTTGTTTAGAACATTATTAGCAACAAAATTTCGAGCAACAGAAGCTCGAAGAGTATTTCCTTGTTTCGATGAACCACATTTAAAGGCTCAGTTTAATATTCATATCATTCATCCACAAAATACAATTGCTTTAGCAAATTTTCCAGTTGTAAGTTTCACCAAAAATCTTTCTTTTTTTAGCCAATGACCGACTTATTTCATTTATTATTTTTAAAGATAAACCAAACCATAGAAAATAATTTACGTCATACAACATTTGCTGAAACATTTCGTATGAGTACATACGTTGTGTCTTGGTCTATTCTTCCAGATACATATGGAAAAATTTCAGATAATGATAATTCACCAATGGTATCAAATATCAAGAATTGAAAATAGTTTATCTTATTTTATTTAGGTAACAATATGGGCTCGACCAGAACTAACAGAAAAAAATCATACGACATTAGCACTTGCAATTGCTTCGAATGCAATTCCATTTTATAAAAATTATTTTAATATAACTGAAGCTTTACCTCCTAAGAAAGGTAGAAGAATTAGTTTAGAAATAATAGATAAGATATTTTCAACGGGATAATTAGATATTTTGGCAATATATGATATGGCAACAACTGCAATGGAAAGTTCAGGTTTGATTTCATTTCGTGAAGAACGAATAGTTTATGATGAAAAAATTGCAACAACATTACAAAAACAACAATTTGCAGATATTGTCGCTCATGAAATTGGTCATTCTTGTAAGTCAAACTTCACTTGAGAATTATCATTTGACAAAAAAAACATTATTTTAGGGTTTGGAAATTATGTGACATGTAAATGGTGGAATGATCTTTGGTTTAGTGAAGTAATGGTTAGTTGGCTTTGTAGAAAAACTTTTGCGGAAAAATATTCTGATTGGAATATGGTAGGAAATATAAAGATTAATATCATTTGTTTTATTTAGTCTGATTTAAAAGGAATTACAAATCTTAACGGATGACACAATTCCAATAATGTGGAATGATGCAAAACCATATACTCATCCAATTATTGTTGAAAATGCCGTGAGTGTACCGGAAATAATGAGTTATCTTGATGGACTAACATATTCAAAAGGTATAAGTTTAATGCGAATGTTGGAAAAAATCGTTGGTGCAGAAAATTTTCGTCATAATTTACAAGAATATTTAAAACTAAATGCTTTTAATGTTGCTGATCTTAATCTATTTTATGATACATTATTAAGTAATAGAACGAATGGAAAAGAATTTATGAAAAGTTGGTTAAATGAAATGAATTATCCATTAGTAAATATTGATTTAAATATTGAAAATAATTCAACTAAATTAACATTTACTCAATTACGTTTTATTCTATCGGATATATTCAATATATCACATTTAAATAAAGATTATCGGTGGAAAATCAATCTCGAATGTGTTTTAGGTGGAAATCATAATTCCGATTCTGATATAATAGATATAGGTAATGATAAAATTAGCTTTATTCTTGAAGACGAACAAAAAACTCAAATAATATCTGATAAATCTTATTCATGGATTAAATGTAATCGAGATTTACAAAGTTTCCATATAACAAAATATTCATTTTCATCACAACGTTTTACTTCCGTATTCGAAGCACAACCAACAGTAAATGAAATTTTATTCTCATCAATCTCTCACTTATTTTCTTATCTAGTTTTTTTCAAATAAAGATAAAGTTAATTTAATACAGGATACATTTTTACTTGCTTATAAAGGTTTAATTGATTATCATGAATCATTACGAATTATAAAATCATTAGGAAAATTAAATATGACCGAATATGTTCATTGGAGAACATTTCAATATCATTGGGATATATTAGCTGATTTAATTGATTATTTACCTGATACATTGACGAAATTTCAAGTGAGTAAAAAAAGAAAAGTTTTTCATAGCTAAAATTCTCATTTTATTTTTAGAATTTTGCTATTCAACAAATTCTTTCGAATGATGTTACACTTGAGAATATTTTAACATTACATATTAATGATAATCATAATACGAAATTAGTAAAAAGTTTACAATTTGCATTACTTTGTCGAATGAATCATCAAGGTGCTATTGAAAATGCAAGTTTATTATTTCAATCGATTCCGAAAGAATATTTTAATAATGATAATGTCGATATTGAGCAAGAATTTTTCATCGATATCATATTGAATTTATGTTTGTATTTTCAGTGTTCCTGCTGATTTTCTATCAACTGTGTATACATATCATTTAAAAAATGATGATAATGAAAATGATTGGAATCAAATGTACAATTATTATCAAATAGCAACATCAACACACGAACAAACTCGTGCTTTAGTGGCAATTAGTTCAACAAATAATAAGGATCGATTAAATCGGTAAGAAATTTACAAAAATTCTGGAAATTATAATTCATAATTTGTTTTTTTTCTATCGAAAGATTACTCAACGAAGGATTAATAGGTGGATCGAATACAATAAAACTTCAAGATTATTTTACTATGATGGGTTATATGAGTCGTTATGCAGTTGGAAGAGAAATCGTTTGGAATTTTTATAAAAATAATTATTCAGATTTAATTAATACGTTAGAATTTTATTTTCAAATGTATAAAGAACGAAATTTTGTTTATTTAGTTTTACATTACAAAATAGTCGATTTGCTTCAGCTATTCTATCGATTACACGTTCATTTGAAAAAGAATCTTATCTTGATGAAGTAAAAAAAAATTATTTTTCTGATTAAATACTACATTGCTTAAATTTTCTTCACTTTAAGATGAATGAATTATTTATAAAATATTCAAATGCTGGTGTTGGTGAATCAGCACGTCAACAAGCAATCGATCAAGTCAAAATGAATATTCATTGGGTTAAAACAAGAGAACAAAATCTACAAAATGCACTTGATACTATTTTCAATTTATAAACTATACTGTTAAATTTTAAAACTAAAAAACTAAAATTAATTGTTATAAAATAGTTTATTCATTGACAATAAATTGAGCTTGAGGGTGTGAGTGTATCATATCTGTCCTATCCTCATCTTTGTGAACATCTATGTTATGATACACTGGATACTACAATCTAATAAGTAGTATCTGATGATGATCAAGTTAAAAGCAGTCAAGGGTCAAGATAATTCTCTCGACGAGTGTTACTTTTTTGTTGGTATCGTGTTCATCTCTCATACACATCTATACTCACTTTGCAATTCATTTTTATTTCAATTAGATAAATTAGTTTTGAAGATTAGAGAAAATTGTCTGAAACTTTAACAATTATTTCTTTCTTTCAAGACGATGAATATAATTCTGCACTATTCAATGATCCACCATTGAAACCACCTGTAATTAATATTGTTCCATTTAACAATACCGATGCTTGATGTCGAAATCGTCCATGATTCATGCTATCAATAGTTATCCAAGTATCTGTCGATAAATCATATACTTCAGCACTTCTCAAACCTTCCGTATTATAATATCCACCAGTAACTAATACATTTCCATTGCTTAGTGCAGATGCTGTATGATGTGTTCGGAGAATATTCATCGGATTAGTTGTTGCCCAAGTATCTGTTTCAGAAGTATACAATTCAGCTGTCTTTACATAACCATAACCATATCCACCAGTTACTATTACTTTTCCATTTGTTAATACCACTGCTGCGTGTTCTGATCGTGCATAATCCATGCTTCGAGCAGTCGTCCATGTTTCTGTTACAGGATCATATAACTCTGCACTATCGAGAGGAGCAAAAGTATATCCACCAGAAATCAATACTTTTCCATTTAACAATATAGATGCTGTATGGTAACTTCGTGCTTGATTCATATGACCAGTCATTGTCCACATGCCTGTTTTAGGATCATACAATTCAGCAGTATTGACATCAACGCCAATATCTGTTTTTCCACCAACAATCAACACTTTTCCACTCTTTAATAGTGTTGATGTATGAAAAAATCTTGGATTATTCATTTGACCAGTAATTGTCCAAGTTCCTGTATCAGAATCATATAATTCACTTGTGTTCAGAAAAGCAGGACTAACTCCACCAGATACTAATACTTTTCCATCTGTTAATAAAGATACTGCATGACATTGTCTTGGATAGAACATGTTTTCAGTAGATTTCCATCTTCCTGTTGATGGATCATATATTTCAGCTTCAGCTAGAATACGATCATCAATTCCACCAGTAACTAATACTTTACCATCTTTTAATACAGTTGCAACATGGTCGACTCGTGCATTAATCATATCACCAGTATCGATCCACTGTTGAGCGAAACATTTGAAACTATGACTAGTGATGAGAATGAAAATAAAATGAATAACTGCCATTTCGAACACAACACACATTGAAATGAAGAGGCATCGTGTAATAGTATGCTTTACTTTTTATCTTAAATATACAGATGATATTTTAAGTAATATAATTCCCACCATTCAAAACATACAATAGTCTAAAATGTACTCGAAAAATAATGACCTACAAAAAACTGCTCTACTTTCCGTTGAAACAAGTTATTCGTTCGTCTTTTATTCAAAAAGTAAAGTAAATGTATACAAATCAAAGAGAAAGACAAAGAAATGATCAACATACACGTAATTTCAATAATATTACTTATCACACAATTTTCTTTTTTCTAATATAAAATATCAGAGATTCTAAGTCACTTGTGTGTTTATGTAAGCTGAAAAATTGTTTTAAATCACATTGTATTTTTCTAGTGTATGATCTATTTCATCTGCAATTGTCGAACTTGTTGCTGATGAATCATATATTTCAGCAGTGTTTAAAAAATGAGTAACTTCATACGATCCACCAGCTACCAATACTTTTCCATCTGTTAATAATGTTGCTGTATGATATTCTCGTGTATGATTCATGTCACCAGCAAGTGTCCAAGTTTCTTTTGATGGATCATATAATTCAGTACTATTAAGAGCAGCGCCATTACCCGATCCACCAACTACTAAGACCTTTCCATTCTGTAATAGAACTTCTGCATGACTTGTTCGTTGAGAAGTCATATTACGAGTCGTTGTCCAAATTCCTGTTGATGGATCATACAATTCAGCACTTTGTAATATATTATTTCCCATTCCACCAGCAACTAAAATCTTTCCATTGGGTAATTTTGTTGCTGTATGAAAGACTCGTGCAAAATTCATACTACCAGTAAGTGTCCATATGCCTGTTAATGGATCATATAGTTCAGAACTATTTATTGCTTCAGGATTTCCATGCCCACCCATAACTAATACTTTTCCATTTGCTAATACACATGCTTGATGACAATCTCGTCCAATATTCATGCTACCGGTAGTTGTCCAAACTCCTGTTGATGGGTCATATATTTCGGCACTTTTTAATATATTATAATCGTAATCGAATCCACCCGTAATCAAAACTTTTCCATTTGTTAATATAGATGCTGTGAATCCATCACGTGCAAAACGTACACTACCAGTAAGTGTCCAAGTTTCTGTTGATGGATCATACAGTTCAGCACTATTTGTAAATGCACTACCATTATAACCTGATATGACTAAGATTGATCCATTGGCTATCGTAGCTACAGCATGTCCTACTCGTAGAATATTCATGTTACTAGTCAACTTCCATGTTTTACTAGACGGATTATATAATTCAGCACTTTGTAGAATATTATTAATACGATTAAGACCAACACTATCAGCACCACCAATAACTAAGACGTTTTTATTATGTAATAGAACTGCTTTATGTACATATCGTACATGATGCATATCGCCAGTACGAGACCATCCTAAATAAAATATTGATTCATATACATTCTTGTTAGAGAATAATATTAGATTTCTTATTTAAATACATTAACAAACAAAACTTTTAAACTTACCTGATTTTTCAATGGTGGTGATAATGGATGAAGTCTTTTGTGTAAAAATGAAGAATTTAAATAAGAGAGAAATAGAAATAGTTAAAAGTGTTAACATCATAAATGAAATACAAATAATCTTAATCCAACGATGATGCCACCATTTCAATGGTTTATAATATAAAGGACTACGTTCGTTGTATACAGAATCAATATACATTATAATGATCTAAAACAAGTGCATAGAATCAGTTGAAACTAACATTCTTTAGATTTAATGAAATATATAACACGTATACTGATAAGATTCTTCTATTCTTTTATAAAGTGTGATAATAAATTGTCTTGTCAACATACATGATGAAAAGTTCTTAAAAAAATGTGATAATACAACGATGCTTGTGATTAATATTTTAGTATCGAGAAAAGTATGACATATATACACCGCGGTGACCGATTTATTATCCACATTTAAATAGAATAGCAACTTCACAAGTCGTTCTTTGATGCTTTAATAGAATTTATTTAAAACGAATATACCACCATTAATAACACATTTTGATACGATACTATCGAAAATAAACATACACGCGTTGATATATATATATATAAAGAAAAGAAGATTTCAACAGAATACACAGTGATATCTGGTAAAACGACTTTATCTGTCGTATCCTTTTACAAGCGCATGATATTTGTGGAAGATTAAGTCAATATTAATAAGTAATACATATCCCCCGACAACAGATAAATTTTCTACATAATATCTTCAAGATAGACTATACATTATAGTTGCAACCTATTCATTGTGTTGATTCTCCATGAAAAACTTCTAAATCTTTTATCACTATTCTATATAAGTCCATCAGACTCAAGAAGCGTGACTCATATAACTATAATATATCAAACTTGTTGTTAATATTTTGAATATACACGTTTATATAAAAGATCAGTTAATAAAAAATATTTGTACAATAGAAATGTTCGAATGTGTAAAAAAAAAGTAATTTGATAGTTTATTGTAGATTTTCAATCTTTTGATTATTGAATTATTGTTTATTAACCAGCAATAGGAGTGCAACAACAATAAGAAGTATCATAAGGACTTGCACAAGGAGCATCCGGAGGAATAGTAGCAGTGGGAGAGGTGAGAGTATTACTAATAATAAATTCACCATCACCTATCTCATAATTGCCATAATTGGGAACACAAGAAACACCGAGCCTTGGAGCATTAGCAGTAATAGTAGGAGTATAACCAGCGGCATTGCTGACAATAATTGCAGCAGGAGCACGGGAATCAAAACTACCACTGCAAAAACTATCACAAGTAGCAGGATAAAGAGTAGTATCAGAAGTAGCTATACCAGCACTGGAGTAAATACGCATAACATTAAATGTACATGTCGACGTCATTACAACAGGAGACGTCGTTGTAGTAGTGGAAGTAGTGGAAGTAGTAGCAGTAGTAGTCGTACCAGTCGTACTAGTAGTAATAGTAGTTGTTGTTGTAATAGTAGTAAAAGTAGTTGTCGAAGTCAGAGTAGTAGTAGTAGTTGTATCTGGATCACTGTATGACGAATCTAATCAAGAAAACGATAAATAATATCAACTAATAGAGATTCTTTATCTAAAACTTAATTCTGAATTATTTTAATGTTGTTGTTTTTATATAGTAATATTCTATCTAATTTCCAGTTTCTTTTTCTTTGATCCTTTAATCACATCTATATAGTCAATTGACTCTTACTTGAGATTTGTTCTACTGCACAAAAGTCCATATCAATAGATGCTGTTTTACCATTATCAAAAACAGTTACAAGAGTTAATCGTTTATAATTATTCTGAATAGTATTTTGAACATTGGTCTTATATTGTGTTCGACTCGCATCACTTGAATAACGCTTTGGTATAAGAATTCGAAATTTAATATTCATTTGATAGCCACTTAATAGTGAATTTTTAGTACATTGTTTTAAATCAAAGAGTCTAATATAAAAATTAATAATGGTCAATGTTGTTATTAGCAATAAAACACATTTGATTCACCTTTTCTTACGTCCAGTAGTTGATGTACCTATTGAATTACTGAATTGGAAGGAGACAATTGCAGAAATGTCATTTGTTAAACTATATGCATTTTCCAACTATAAATGAAGATGATGATGATGATATTTTATATTGCAATAGTTTTTATAGAAAAAAAAACATACTGTTGGAATCAATGAACTGGTATTGGCGAGTTTAACAGAATTATTACCCTGATAATTTGTACCATATGTAACCGAGTAAATATTATAAACTAGAATAAAAAAAATATTGACTAAGATGATCAATAGTTCATAATTATACATCTAATATATTACATTGACTACTGTTCAATGCTACTGTATTGTCAGATAAATACGTTGGTATTAATGATAGAATAATTGCTCCTGCAACTATCAAAGCACCACTAATACCACAACAACAGCAGCAGCACCATAACCAACCACCTCCCAGTCGACGTCTAAATATATATTCGTTGATATTTACATACAATATCAGGATAAAATAGATAAATAATTACTGACCGACGTTTTTTTCGTTCCTCCTCTTCTTCCTTATTTACTTGTCGTTCGATATAAAACATTGAACCTAGCATGACAAGACAGTGTATAATTCTTGATAAATATATATAGCTTCGACTAGCACAATGAATATGATGAATATTTTCTTTTGAAGAATACCTTTATATAGTGAAACTGAGCGACATATGATCACATATAGAGTAATCAGTAAATATACGAATAACCCCCCAAAAAAAGTAATTAAAAAATTGTTAGAATCATGACCAGTAAGTCGGTTGAATAATACGGAACGAAACATGTAATACAAAAAAAATTAGACACACATATCTATTTATCATAAAATCGACACCTCTATTAAAAAAAATAATAAAAAGGTGAATATTAATGTAGTTGCAATACACATATCAATTAAATGCATCAATATTTTTCTTGAAGATTCAGATAAAGCGTTGAATAAAAAGAGAATACCATTTCATTTTCTATTTGCGATGTCATGATTATTGAATTATTATGTCCGATGTAATATGACTGAAAAAGGTGCATGAAATTAATAAATATATAACTACAAAAAACAAAAAAAATATATAATGTAAATGATTGAGATGCAATATTCAAGCATTTAATTTAACGGAACAAAACAAAGAAATGAATATGTCAAAAAATATGTAAATAAACTATTTTATGATGACTGTATTGAGGGTATGGGTATGGGTGTAAGTGTAGATGTGGATCTGTTACAAGTTCTGCACCACCCACACCCACAAGATATTTAATTAAATTGACAGATCATATTTCCATTTTTCAACAAGAGAAAAGTTTATCAAATAATAATAAATTTTTTTTAATTTATTAATAGTTAATGTATATATAGTTTAGTAGTTTTAAAATGGATACTACGATTGTTCTTCTGTCCATAGTACACCATCTTCTATTTTTGTTAGAAAAAGTTATGATTGATAGTTTTCGCTGAAAATGAGAAATATCTATTCGACAAGAAACTGACTGACGTAGGCATTCTCTACTTCGAGGAAAAAGAAGAAAGAAAGAAAAAAAAAGTATAATAAATAACGTAAACTGGCAGTAGATTTTACATAAAACAAAAATAATGTTGAAAGGACGCTCAAGGAAGAATAAAAAAGAAAAGAAAGTAAAATAATAGATGTAGAGAATAAAAGTAAAAGTCTTTTTTTTGCAATGAAATAACTTGCTTCAAGCAGTCGAAAGGTAAGATTTGAGTTCTTATCATATAGTTATCAATTATTGCTTTAGCATAATACTTCAGTTTGATTCTATTCCTTACACGTTAATATCAAGTATTTTTTTATTAAATTCTTCTATAATTTAATCGTATTGACAACTAGCTATTCACCAATATTGTTTCGAAAGGAATTGATAAAATTTTATATCGTTTTTGTAAAAATAAAGAATAACGATATATATTTTTCGTGCAATAAATACATCTGCAAATACCCTGCATAACAATAGAATATATTTATTAATGCTCTTTCTTATCATCAAAAAAAGGATCATCCAAGAAACGATATATACGAAAAATGTTAATTCCATATTCTAGTTAACTATATAATATTACAATTTTTTGTGAGTTACTTTAAAAAAATGAAAAAGTACGTTTCGATAAAAAAAATCTTTATTCTTTATTTTATCTTTTTTCTCGAAAATAAAGATAAAGTAACATTTCAAGTCAAAATAAATAAATATCTTCGTTTTATTCAAGTTAAAGCATTATTTTTTTCCAGGAACAGAAATCTTGAAATTTCAAAATTGATATATGAATTCTTGTCATTTGTGAAATGAAAAATTGCAATATATATTTAGATTTAATCATGTTATGAAGATATATATTTTAATCTTTTTCTCGTTATATTAATTTACAGATGTCTACAAAAAATGATGAAAAACAATTAAAATTATGTCTAACAAAACTTATCGAATTACTTAGAAATTGTCTACAGAACTCAAAAATAAACAAAGAACAAGTACAAACTAACACTACCAATAACAATCGTCAAAATTCTCAGTTAAATAATACTATTTATACATTTACATTAAATAATGAAGAAAATGACCTTCTTGATACATTAACATTGAATATACAAAATGTACTGAATGAATATCTTCCAAATCTATCAAAAATGTGTTTAAATTATTTATTAGATTTTCTTCACACATATCATTATGATCGTCAACAAAGAAAATTTATTAAATCTTTAACAATTAGTGTATTACAATCATTTCATCAAGAATTAAAAGGTTTATTAGCTGCATCAGAAGCTTTTCCAGCTGCATTCAATGGTGAAATAGATAAAGTTAAAACATTTATTAAAGAATATCCAACATTCAAAAATAAGCCAGGCTTATGGGAAACAACATTATTATATTCAGCTGCACGAAATGATTATTTAGATCTTGTCAAGTACTTGATTGAAGAAGCACATTGTTCTGTGAATGTACAAAATCAACGTGATGTTGATTTCGCGTTAGATTCTAATAAGAACGACTACATTCCTCGACCAACAGCTGCGTCGACAGCTCTTCATGGTGCTTGTTTTAACAAACATTTGACTATTGTAAAATATTTAGTAGAAAATGGTGCTAATTATTTCATTCATAATCAAGCACTTGAGACTCCAATTCAAAATGGAGAACGACATCCTGAAATAATAAAATATTTTCAGGATTATCTCGTTCTTAATTATTCTGGTGAAATTCCACATCGTTTACCAACTCAATTAATAATGGATGATGATCGACGTCCAATCCGTGATTGTATGTGGGAATATAAACCATTTCAAGATCAAAAATGGTATAGATTTACATCAGTGGAAGCAAGTGAATTGCAAAAAGCTCTATTACCTTCAGAACAATTTCAACAACAAGTTTATTTAAAAGTTAGAAAAGGTTTATATGATGTATCGATGATTGAGTTTGTACGATCAGGAAAACATGAACAAGATCCACAAAAAAATATGGCATGGATTCGATGTCGTGGTTCAAGTATTTTGAATTTTGATTGTATTTCAATATGGCAAATTATGTTAATTGAACATGAAAAAGTAGATAAAAACATACACATTGTTCCATCATTAAAAGTACAACATTTTCCCGCTATGTTCGACAGTCTTTTTAAACTTCAACTAAATAATTGGTATAGTTGTGATGCTGAAACTAGTGCACTGTTAAATGATTCAATGAATTATCGACGAAAAGTAATTTCCATTAATATTACTAATGTTGGCAATGGCTTAGCATTAAATTTACAAACATTTGAATTTTCAAATAATAAAAAGACGGTTCTTGGATACATCCGGTGGATTCCTCAGCTTATTTCAAATAGTGAAGATAACCCTAAGAAAATTGAATATATCGATAATTATCAATCGATGGCCAACATTCAACCAATTCCTTTAACAACTAAACATTTAAAACAGATGCCAAAAACGAAAAAAAGCGATAAACACGAACAACAATCAACAAATGATTTATCTAATCACGATGAGAATGATGACAGCAATTTAGAAATGGCAACAACATCAAGCATTGAAAATGGTGATGATGATGATGATGATGATGATGATGATGATATCATTTATTCGAATAATAATAAAGTATGTTAAGCACGGAACACAAAAATTTTGCTCTGAAATGGTTTCTTTCTTATGACACTTTGAAAATGAATCGTAGTCATGGCTAGATAATGATATCGCGTACCTCTCTCGATTTATGTTAATGTTACTATGACATTTCATTCGTGTATCTGTACATCAGCACTAATAGATTCGATCAGATTTAGAGAAACTTCTTAAACCTTTGTAAAGTCTAGAAGACTCTACAAAAAGTATTATTAGACTAATTGGATTTCGCCTAGGATATAAATTATTTTATGAACTTCATTTATGTTGCCTTGTATTTCAATAGTAGTTTCAGAAAGGATATTCTACATGAGGTGCCATTTTGCAAAATTCTTATTGTCAAAGACGTTTTTCTTAAAGCCTATGTAGGAGACTGATATTCAACTATCAACCATCATTTATGATGGAAAGCGATGATGTACAATACTTTGAAGTCTTTTACAATCATCATAAACAGTGGCTATAAAACCACGTTGACTATTAACGGTGCTCGGATAAGATTGTAAAGTATCGTAAACGACAACTGTAAATAATATGAGAAACGATCATGTTTTTTTCTATTATATGTCTATAAATAACTGCTAATACTAACAAACCCACACGATATTTAAAGAAATGCATTTAGAACTCCTTTTATCTTATACATATTTTAATAGTGTCAAAAGCGCATAATCTGATTCTATGAATATTCTAAGCAAATAAAATATTATAATTGCTTTAATGTAAATATAATGTATATCAACAATTTGGAGTATTTCAACTCACACTTAATACTAATCAAAAATGTATCAATACATCTATTACAGTCATTATCGTTAAATGAATCTTCAATATCTACCTTGACTTCAGATTCAATGTATGTTTATTCATAGAAAAGAAATATTCCATTAAGAGATTTTGATAAATAACTGCTAAGTTTCTGAGTTGTAAAGCTAATTAAATGATTCTGTATAAGATTATTTTAATTGAATCTTTAGGCTACAACAGACAATCAAGGAACTTGGAGTCTCACTGATCTTAATGATGAAATTAATCCTACCAATTTATCTTTTGCATCATCCAATACTACTAATACTACTGCAAATACATCTATCGAACAATCTGCCAGTGGCAATGCCGGTAAACCCAATCATTCAACTCTTATCGAAAAAAACAATACTACGTTAAGAGATGAAACAGCTGCTGCTCTTGCTGCCAAACTAGAGGCTGAAGTTGAAGAATTAAAAGATCAAATTAAAAAGAAGAAATTAGAAGTTGAACAACAAAAAGAATCAAAATATACGTTAACCAAAGAAAAGGAACAACAATTAGAACAAAAAAATAAATTATTAAAAGATCTTCAACAACAATTACTTAACAGACAAGCTTATGAACAACAATTAAAAGATTTAGCTAAACAAATTAAAGCTGTAGATTATATTAATATTGAATCATTTCTTGTCCAACATTTTCTATTTAGCAAATTACAATTTATTATGAATCATATGAAGTCGAAACATCAAATGAATGAATATTTCGTAGGAATACCTAATATTACAATGACAGAAAATACTAATTCATATTGTGCATCAGTAACAGGTGTTCAAGAACATCATGATGAATTCAAACGTATTCTACAACGAATACAAATCTTATCAAATAATATTCAATCAACCAAAACTGATTATCAACGGCAACTCAATACAACATTACAATCTATTAATCATATAATGACACAACAAATTCGTTCTTCGTCAAATTGGAAATATTATACAAAATATTTTCAAGAATTAATTAAAAAGAAAATCGAAGAATTTGTTATTTTATTTGATACATATATATTACAAGAGTCGAAAACTATAACTGAACAAATTATAACAGATTCTAATTTTCAATCATCAATTCAATTACGAAAACTAACAGATAGATATACGAGAAAAAAACAATTTATACCTGAATTAGAATTACTAAAACAAGAAGCTCTTGATGAATATATTAAACAACATGTTTGGTCCGAACGATTAAAATTTGAAAAGAAACCATCAAATAAATCTTTACAGATTATGAATGAATTTATAAATAAAGTTAAAAAAGAATTTCAAACAGATGAAATTTATCATGGATGTGAGTTCGAACAATTGAAACATATTCCCAAATTATTACAACGAATTATGTTATATTATCGATGTTTTCTTTTACAATTACCTCTTTATGAAACATCAAAAGAATTATTAGATAAAATTGATAAAAATACCGTTATAACAATAGCAACATCAACTGGATCAGGTAAACAAATATGAAATATAATTCTATTTCATTTTTTTCTATAAATTGAGAAAATTATTTATCTAGACGAATAATTTGACTCTCGTTTTACCTAGGGATGTACCGAGCCCGAGCCTCTCAGTCAGGGCTCGGCTGTGGGTATGGGTGAATGCGGGTGAAAGGCTGGATGTGGGTGAGGGTGGAAAGGATAGTACCCACGCCCACCACATCCACACCCATAGTCTCACTCCCACTCTCATCCACATCCGCCCACAGCCACACCCTCAGTGTCTTTTTTTTCATAGGAAAATCTAGTTTACTTCCGGCGCTATTAATTGCTGAAGGTTACGATAAAGTAATTGTTACTCAACCACGTCGATTACCTTGTACATCAATTTGTAATCGTGTAAATGAAACAATGACAACAAATAAAAATGAATTTGTTTTGGCGGGATGGGCTGTTAGTGGTGCTGAATATGAACCAAAATCTCAAATATTATATTTAACAGATGGTTTATTAAAAGAACGTTTATTACATGATGAAAATTTAATTACAAATCAAACGAAATTAAATAAAACTATTGTATTTTTTATTGATGAAGTTCATGAACGATCAATTAATATCGATCTTTGTTTAGCATTGATTGCTCGTTTACTCAAAGAAAAACCTCAACTTAAAACTAAAATTAAAGTTATTATTTCATCAGCTACATTAGATTCATCTGTACCAAATCTATTTCGTCAAATAGCACAATTAAAATTTGCTGAATTTCAAATGCCAAATCTTGGAACATTATATCCAGTTACAAAAATTCCAAGACCAAATCAAAACATTCTAGATTTAGTACAAGAATTATGTCAAAAACGACAACGACATGATCAAATTTTATGTTTTGTTAGTAGTGTATCAGAAGTTCAACAATGTTGTCGACTTTTAGAAGAAATTAGTCGTCGAACAATTATTGCTTTTCCACTTATTCAATCACAATCAGCTAAAGAACAACAAAATAATATTGAACATGGAAGTATTTTCTTTTCTACAACTGTTGCTGAAACATCACTTACATTTCCATCTTTAAAATATGTTATTGATACAGGTATGATTAATATTCCTGTTTATGATTTTGATAAAAAACAAACAATTCTCATGGAAACTCGAGCAGCTGAATCAACAATTAAACAACGATTAGGTCGACTTGGACGAACAAAACCCGGTGAATATTATTCATTATATGATTTTAAAATTGAACAAAAAAAATATCCAGTACCACAAATATGTCAATCAGAATTAGTTAATATTGAATTTTCATTAAGAAAATCAATAATTAAACAAGGACTTAATTATATTAAAGAATATTTACCAAATTCACCATCTCCAAAAGCAATTAATCAAGCAATAGACGAATTAAAGACATTAAGTTCGTTTTATTTCGAAGATCATTTAACTTTATATACAAAATTTTATATTTTGTTTCAGATATTTTAGATTCACAAGAAAAATTGACATTAACCGGTATTGCTATTTCTACATTACCTGATTTTGGTTCATTATCTATGTCAAAATCAATTTTAGCAGCTTTAAATGAATATAATTGTGGTCGAGATCTTATTGTTCTTTCATCAATTTTAGGTGTTTTAAATACATCATCAGTATTAAAATTTATACCAGATTCAATGAAAAAAATCGAAGGTGATTTTATGAGTTTATTAAATGTTATGAATGAAATTCTTTTAATTCGTGAAAGTGTACCTGCACAACAATTTAATTTAAATAAAATATGTCAAGCAAAACAACTTACATTAATGGCACATGTTTTACGACAAGCATTACGACGATATACAAGTTTAGAAAAATCATTTAATCTTTTGAATGAATATCGAGAAAAATCACAAATAACAAAAAATAAATGGGAATTAATTGCTAAATCTTTATTATATGGATATAAAGATAATGTTTTTGTATCAATGAAAGAATTACAAGGAAAAACTCATCTTTTTACTCGATATATATCTTCAAGAGAAGATGTTGCTGTTTTAGATCATCAATCAACACTTTCTCGAGCTATTACTTTAACACCTGTTTCACTTATACTTGCTCGTGATATTCGTTTTTCATCATCTATTCGTGCTACGGCTGTTTTATCATTTCTTGGAGAAATCAAATCTCAATGGATTGAATATCCTTTACAAAGAAAAATTATATTAAATACAGCTGAAGAAACAAGATTAACTTCAAATAATATTTTAATAATAGTTAAACAAAATTTTCCAAATATTCAAATACAACTTCAAAATCGTGTACTTCATCTTGGAGGAGCAGCTGGATTAGTTCTTGATGCTGAACTTGATATTTTAAAACAATTAGTTGTTGAAATGAAATTTAAATTAACAAATCTATATTCAACAAATGCGGCAGCTGATTTTAAACGTATGGCAAGAAATTTAGAAAGTGTTTCGAAAATGCCTCGAATATTTAATCCAATGATATGGCGTTGGGAAGCTCAACAGCAAGTAAAAATTACTGTTAATAATACTACAATAAAAGATGAATGTGAAATAAGTATTAAAGGACGAGATTCACAAAATCAAGGAGTACAAAAAGAATTTCAATCTTTTCTTCTATGGTTAAAAACTTGTGCTGTTATTCGACATCCAAATGCTGGTAAAAATATAAATTTTATTTAAAGATATATCGATTCTATCGTATAACGTCGAACGATAAAATACCGAAAACGTTAGAAAGTCGAAAAAAACTGATGAAGAAGAACAGCATCGAAAGATAGAAATATCGAAATTAAAAATACACCGAAAAGTAAAATATAAAAAAGAATCCGAGGCACATATTTGATAAAAATCAAAGCTTTTACAGCGCCACCCAGACCCACATCCGCACCCACTCACATCCACACCTACACCTACTCTATTATACTTTTTTCGACATTTTAGTTTTTCGATATTCTATTTTCGACGTTTTTAGGTATTCGACTTTTTTATTTTCGATATTTTCCCTTTCGGCATTTTAATTTTTCGATCAAAGACAGGTTTATCGATATAACTTTTCCTGTTATTTATAGGTGTATCACCACGTATTCTTAAACCACAAATGCGTAAGAATTGTCTTAATATTGAAGAGAAAATTTCACATATAACGGATTCTAAACGAACATCAATTGAATTATGGAAAAGTTTAAAAGGCTCAAATGCAACGCGTGAAACTCGAATGGAAGTCGTAGCATGGATAGCTGTTTGTCAATTTGATTGTCGACTTGAAGGTGGTTTTGTTCGTGATTGGACCGTTGGAAATTATACAAATCGACCAATTGGTGATCCATCGACATGGATATTATATCAAAAGAATAAAATGAATGATTCAATTCCTTATATGGATAAAAATTTAATACCATCAGATCTTGATTGTCATTTACCATCGCATAAATATTTTGATATAGATAAATTTCAAGATCATTTACATAGATATCAAATTGAATGTAAAGTTTTTCGAGAAGATTGGCGATATATAATATTATTAGATGAAAAAACTAAAACTGGAGCATTTACAATGGATTTAATTGAACCACATGTTGCATTAACACATGATAGAATTGATTTTGATGTTAGTAATTTATCATTAGAAAAAGATTATACAAAAGAATTAGGAATGAGAGTTGATATACAACATAAACCATTTTCAATTGATTTAGAAATTATTGTTGATAATATTAAAAATAAACGTTTTCAAGTTTTACGTCCTATTGATGATATTGTTAAAGGTCGTATCGAAAAAATGCAAAATCGAGGATGGGCACAACTTGGACAACCTATGTATGTTATTCCGGATCCACCACCAAAATATCATGTTATTTTAGTTCCTTTACCACAATCAAGTCCATTATATGAATCATTAGTTCAACAAATGAAAACATACATTGGAGCACAAGTACAAGTATGGTCCATTGAACAGATTCGAAATCCATTATTAGAAGACGCTTATATAGCAATGAAACAATTGATTGCAAAACAATGTCCAGGACAAAATCCAAATGAACGAGAATTATTTCATGGAACAAAAGGTGATGCTATTGATGGAATATTAAATGATGGATTTGATGATCGTTATTGGGGAACAAATTATTCAAAAGGAAATTGGGGTATAATTTATCTCTTTTTTATTTTAATGATTTGCTTTTCATTCATTTATAGGTCATGGTGCTTATTTTGCTGATAATCCACTTGTTTCACATGGTTATACTGCAGCTGATCTAAATAATCAGACACGTATTATGTATTATAATAAAGTAGTATTGGGAAAAGAATCAATTCTTCAAGTTTTAAACCAAGATTTAATGTCCGCTCCCAAAGGATATCATTCAACACATGGTCAATATCCAGGAAATCCAGTTTCTGATGAATATATTGTGTATCGTTATGGTCAAGCATTACCATATATGAAAATAACATATAGAATATAATCATTTGTCTTTATGAAGGATTGTATTCTTAATAGTAAACTTTATAGAATACTAATTTTTTATTATATATTTATTCATGATTTTCTTTCGAAAAAAAATATTTATTTATTAATAAAATCTGGAATATTTCAAAATTTAAGATATATGACACTTTTGCTATAGTCTATTTTCGATTTCTCCGAGACATTTCCCACTAAAGTACTGATATGATATAATTTTAGATAATTTTTAGATAGATTTACTATTCTATTTCTTAGTTTGTTTATTCAATAGAAACTAACAATATAATACAATTGAAAAAAAATTGTGAGGCTTTCTACGTTACTCTCGCTTTTGCAAAAGAAATATTAGATAGAAATGTCTTCATTGTTTGTCGATTAATTTCTAGATAATAAGTATTATCAATGCCCGAACTAATTAATAAATCGAGAACGTTAGTCAAATTTTAAGATATTTTGATATGATTGTATGCAAAAAAATCCTTCCTGTTATCAGCATCAGTAGTACTAATAATGCATATAACATAGCAATTCTACATCCATTTAATTACTGATAATTACGTCGGATATTTCATTGATGTCCTTGAAACTAATCATAAAACTATGGCAAAGAAGACGTTCAGATGAATTGAAATGTTTTATCAGCTAATACATAAACTGATTTAACTAGAATAATTATTAATGAAATATATGCTCGACATATATCTACAAAGGTTTTATTGATATGAATGAAGAAATAGATTTTGTACAACTTTCATATTTGTAGTACTAAAGTCATACAATTTGAAAAATCTAACACCATATACGATAGACATTATCTCATATTATTTAATTATAATGATTATTGTTGTATGAATAGGTCTGATGGTAAAAGGTCGTCGAAAAAAAAATATTGAAAGAAGAAATGTCAATAAAGTCGTCAAACCACTTTCTATCAGTTAATGCTGCGTTGCGAACATTTACTAACAAGTATATATCTCTGTATACTAGTTTATTGAATTGAGTCTGTATAATAGCTTCTGTTCATTTCTACAAACTTTCATCAAATTATTCGACATATTTTTTCTTTACATCACGATGAGTGATACACTTATCATAACATTTTCACAAAATAATAAACGTAAACGCGTAGTTTTTTGTGATGGATTTGTATATCAACTAAATAAGTCATGTTCAAAGGTCAAATATCGATGCTGTGAAAATCGTCTCTGCTCAGTGATTCTTCATACTGATGTGAACGATTAGTTTAAAGCGCGTAAGAGAGATCACTCAAATCATATATGTTCATTTGAACAAATTGCACTAGTCGACGTTCTTGTCCTCTTCTTTCCAGGTTCTTGCTTTTCTTGCTTTTCTGATAAGATTCTTGTGTTCAGGCAAGATTCTTTTCGACAGGAAAGTAAAAAGAATCTCACAAGAATTTCCAGTAGACAAGAATCTTGTCTGAACAATCAGAAATAAAAGAATCAGGCAAGAATTATAAGATATTCAAGATATATTTAATATTCAGACAAGAATCTTTTTCTTCCCTTTAAAAAGAATCTGGACTGAAGTTCAAGACAAAAAGAACTTGGAAAGAAACACAAGATATTTTAAATTTCTTAATATTCAGACAAGATTCTTGTAATAGAAAAGAAAACAGATTCTTGTCAGCTTTCCAAGATGAACGGCACGTGATGTGGTCTTTGTGTATCACATATATAAAAGCATTAGCTGACCGTTATTTATTCATAATTAATATTGACTCGATAAGTATAGTGCAAATTTACTTAGATTATTTTCTTTTTCTGAAGCGTTTATCTAATTCAAACGACATCTAGTAAGTTATTGTTTTAATTAGATGTATAGTAAAAGTTTATTTCATATCAAGAAAACAATGGAATATATGATATCCGTTTTCTCATTGTTTACTGAAGGCAATCCTTATTGAACATATTTTGATATTTTTCTAATTCATATCTATATATTTTATTTTTTTTCTAGATTTTTCACTATCGATAAAAGTATTACATACAATGGACGAAGAAAATATGAATTTGTTTAAAAAACTATTGTTTGATAATCCTCTTCGTATAGGTAAAATTTTAAGAAAATAAATAATAAATTTTTGTTTAATTTTTTTTTGTGTTAAAAATTAAAACTACTTCATGAATATGTGAAAATTAAAGTATTTTTTTGTTCTTTCATATTTTTTTGTACATGGTGTGAAATGCTTATAATAAAACGATATGAAAAAGGTAGTAATAACCTAAAAAAGGCTTTTTTGATATGATCAGAATCAGGCAAGAAGCCTAAGAAATCAGAAACAGGCAAGAAAATCAAGAAGGATAAGAATCAGGCAAGAAAGTAAGAAAGATAAGAATCGGGCAAGAGTTCAAGGAAAACAAGAATCAGGCAAGAAAGTAAGAGAACAAGAATCTTGCCTGGAGAAGAATTTCTTGCCTCATCAGACAAGATTCGGTCTACACGAATCTCACAAGAAAGGCAAGATCAGTTTTTTCAGACAAGAATCTTGTATATAAGGAATTTTCAGGCAAGAATCTTGCATTTAAGGAATCGATAAAGAATCTTGCTTGAAAATCAAGAAAAACAAGAACCTGGAAAGAATAGGGCAAGATCGGCGACTGGTGTGAAATCCTTAATTTTAAATCTATTGTTAAAAAGTGTGTAATTACTGAGCTCACGCCAATTAATCGGACTTTCGACGTAGAATTAGCTAAAGCCTATTTAAAAGAAATAGCTCAGGTTGGGTGTGGATGTTAAATTAGAAGAACATCTACATCCATCTTGCCTTTAACTTGTGTTTTTCTTTGCTTAGATTCTTATTAATAAAATTGATGAGTAAATATTTGATAGTATTGTTTTCGACATTTTTTATTTTTGACATTTACTTTCGAAATTTCCTTTTGACCTTTAGCCACTTTACGCAAAAAACTTCGTATCAACTAAATATGATGAAATTGAAAAAATACTTTATAACCTTTTTGATACAATTTCCTATCTATGACTCATTTCTTTGTTTTTGTTGTTATTCTAAAATCAATTATTTATTGTTATCATGAAATTCTACACGCTATTATAAACAAAATCTACTTCCTTTTTACTCAATATAAATAGATCAGTGATTTTTATTTGAAATAGTAAACAAATTTTATTTCAAAGAAATGCATCGTATTCTCATTATTTTGTCTTATGTTGTTTTCATAAGTTTTATTAGTGGAGCTTCGTTTAAACTACGAACATCAAGTGATAGTGATGCTATTGAACTGACTGACTTGTGGGAAAAGTTATGGGCTTCAAAACCTGCTGAATATAACGAAATAGAACCTTTTATATATTGCAAACCTATCGAAACATGCTGTGAAGAAAAACAACGTCAAAAAACAATACTTATGTCTCTTTTCAATTCTTTTGATTTTAATAAGATAAATCGCTTTCGAAAAATTATAGGATCATGTGTTAATTCAACAGAACAGAACGAAGTAGATAAATGGTGTCAAACATTCTCTCAAGAGACAATCGAACTACAGGATCCTGAGGCAAACTACCAGGTACGGCAGTTTGAACAGCTGACAATGGAATTTTTCGAAAAACTTGAGACAATCGATGACGATGCCGCAGACCTTTGTGGCGATGAAACAACGTATGCTTTTATGTGTTTATCTGACAAGAAGGTAATCCAAAGATGTTTTCGTAAACTTCTTCGAAACGCGATCAAGCGCCTTGGTTACAAGTCATATAAAAAAGTTGTAATGGAAAACAAACAAGCACTCATCGATATTAATCGAAAATGGTCTGAAATATCTATGAAAAATGAAGAAATAAACTAAACTCATTGAATCTTTCTTCTGTAATCATGAAAAATCTTCATGTATGAATTATGATTTCTATATGAAGTTCAAACTAAAATAAAACTATAAAAGAAGAGATTTCATTTTAAATATTTCATTAATGACTTATTTTGTAATAGATACACTTTCATAGATACATCAATACAGGTGTTCTTCAAAAGAAAAGAGAATAAAAATAATTCAAATACATATATTATCTTTAACATATATCTCGAGAAAAATATTGAATATTTCTTTATCTACATTTTTTGATGAATTTCACAGTATAACTAGTTTATACGTTTTGTTTGATTCTCATTTTATCAACGAAAACATCATTGTTTGACAATGCAGTAATTTGATCTTTTGTTCTATTTTGCTTTTATTCATTATGTTAAAAGAGTAAAGTAACCATTTTAATATATATTTTGTCTAAATTTGAAGAAACTCTATTATAAAGTAGTAAAAAGACGCAAATTGTAACTCAACCAAATATTTGATACTATTATATACAATGTTGTATAGTTATTTAAGATTTGCATCAAAATTCAGAAATACAATAATCACTTTCATTGTTATGAGTATTAAAAAAACAATTGAGAACAATAATGAAATTTGATATTAACTCAACGGTATACAAAAAGCGTCTTATTAACTAAATATGATGAAATTGAAAAAATACTTTATAACCTTTCATACAATTTCATATATATGATTCATTTCTTTGTTTTTGGTTTATTCCTCAATTCAATTATTTATAATGTTATCATGACATTCTACACGTTATCATAAAAACAAATCTACTTCCGTCTTACTCAATATAAATAGGTCAGTGATCTTTATTTGAAATGTGGGATGTATGGGTAAGTTCCTATATATATATATTCATTATGACTTTTCTATATACATGTCATATAAGTTTATTACTTTCGTTCTTGGTTTTTTCCAACACATACATATATATATATATACTTGCGTTTTTCTATATATGTATATATCTATATCTACATCTTTCCTGCATTCTCTCTGGGTTGATCTTTCTGTTTATTCTAATAAAGAACTCACATACATATATACCCAACTGTATATACGTTCCTTCTTTAAATCCTGACGACGTGACACAATAGTACACAAACTGTATTAAAAAAAATGCATCGTATTCTCATTGTTTTGTCTTATGTTGTTTTCATAAGTTATATTAATGGAGCTTCGTTTAAATCACGAACATCAATTCATAGAGATGCTATCGAATTTGCTAACTTGGTGGAAACGTTTTGGGCTTCAAAACCTGCTGAATTTAACAAAATAGAATCTTTTATACATTGCAAAGTTCTAGAAACATGCTGTGAAGAAAAACAACGTAAAGAAGCAATACCCTTAGTTATTTCAGAGTTACCCGATGATAAAAATCGCTTTCTGGAAATTGTAGAATCATGTATTAATTCAACAGAACAAAATGGAGCAGATAAATGGTGTCGAACATACTCTCAAGAGATAATCTCACCATGGGTTCTTTTGTCAAATTTCCAGTTAAGGTACTTTCTACAGCTGATGATGGAATTTCTCATAAAACTTGACGAAATCGGTGCCGGTAAAGAGAAAGTTTGTGACGATGAAGAAATGTATGCTATTAGATGTCTATCTAACAAGAAATTAATCCAAAGATGTCTTCGTAAAGGTCTTCGAGACCTGATTAAGCGCTTTGATCGCAACTCTTATAAAAACCTTGTAATGGAAACCAAACAAGCACTCAACAATATTAATCAAAAATGGTCTGGAATATCTATTAAAAATGAAAAAACAAACTAAACTCATTGAATTTTTCTTTTGTAATCATAAAAAATCTTCGTATACGAAATATGATTTCTATATGAAGTTCAAATTGAAATAAAACTATAAATAAAAAAATTTTATTTAAAATATTTCGTTAATGTCTTATTTTGTATAACATGCACTTTCTTAGATACATTGATATAGATCATCTTCAAAGGAAAAGAGGATAAAATAATTCAAATATGTATATTATCTTTAACATATTTCTCGAGAAATCGTTGAATATTTATTTAGATTTTTTGTTTGATTCTTATTTTGTTATAACGAAAATATCATTGTTTTGATAATAAAGTAATATGATCTTTTGTTCTATTTTGCTTTTATTCATTAGATTAAAAGAGTAAAATAATCATTTATATATATATATATTTTTTTTTTTCTCTAAATTTGAACAACTCTATTACAAAGTAGTAAAAGACGCAAATTGTAACTCAACCAAATATTTGATACTATTATATACAATGTTATATAGTTATTTAAGGTTTATATCAAAATCCAGAAATACAATAATCACTTTCATTACTATGAGTATTAAAAAAAACATAGAAAACAATAATGAAATTTGATATTAACTCAACGGTATACAAAAAGCTTCTTATTAACTAAATATGATGAAATTGAAAAAGTACTTTGTAATCTCTCACACAATTTCCTATCTATAATTGATTTCTTTCCTTTTCTTCTTATTCTAAATTCAATTATTTATTGTTATCATGAAATTCTACACGCTATTATAAACAAAATCTAAGTATCTCTTATTCAGTATAAATAGATCAGTGATTTTTATTTGAATAGTAAACAAATTTTATTGAAAAGAAATGCATCGTATTCTCATTGTTTTGTCTTATGTTGTTTTCATAAGTTATATTAGTGGAGCTTCGTTTCAATTGCCAACAACAATTGATAATGATGCTACTGAATTCGCTGACTTGTTGGAAAAGTTTTGGAATTCAAAACCTGCTGAAATTAATAAAGTACAGCCTTTTATATATTGCAAAGTTTTAGAAACATGCTGTGAAGAAGAACAACGTGAAGAAGCAATACCCTTGTTTTTTCCAGCGTTTTCTGGTGATAAAAATCGTTTTCTAGAAATTATGGGATCATGTATAAATTTAACAGAACAAAATGGAGGAGATAAATGGTGTCAAACATACTCTCAAGAGATAATCTCACCATGGGATCTTCGGTCAAATTCACAAGTAGAGCAGTTTGAACAGTTGTTAGACAAATTTGACAAAAAAGTTAACATATTCGATGCCAGTACAACGGAACTTTGTGACGACGAGGAAAAGTATGCTTTTATGTGTCAATCTAACAAGAAACTAATTCAAAGATGTATTCATAAACTTCTTCGAAACGCGATTAAGCGCTTTGGTTACAAGTCTTATAAGAAACTTGTAATGGAAAACAAACAAGCAATCAATGATATTTATCAAGAATGGTCTGCAGTATCTATGAAAGATGGTGAAACAAATTAAATTCATTGAATTTTTCTTTTGTAATCATGAAAAATCTTCATATATAAAATATGATTTCTATATGAAGTCTAAATTGAAATAAAAGTATAAATAAAAACATTTCTTTTAAATATTTCGTTAATGACTTATTTTGTAATAGATGCACTTTTTTAGATACATTGATACAGATGATCTTCAAGAGAAAAGACGATAAAAATAATTTAAATATATTTATTATCTTTATAACAGATATCTTGAGAAATCATTGAATATCTATTTACTTAGATTTTTTGATCAATTTCAAAGTATAATTGGTTTAGCCGTTTTGTTTGATTCTCCTTTTACGAACGAAATCATGATTGTTTTGACAATACAGTAATATAATCTTTTGTTCTATTCTAATCACCATGTACTGTGTGAGATCAAGAAACATAAATTATTTTTAGTGAGGTGCGATAGATCTATATAAATCTTGGATATGAGTGTAGTTGAGGGTAACTGGCTGGTTACGGTTGCAGGTATTATATTCATGTCTCACACCCACCCAAATCTATGATTGATATATATTAGAACAATTTATTTAAGTAATAAACAAAACAAATAAATCTATATATACATATATTTTTATCTCTTCGCAAAGAATTTTTGAACAGATGAAACAACTTTCGAAACTTTATGTCCACTTTTTGATATTTTTGTATCACGTTTCATTTTTCTTTCTTGTTGATCAATCCATACTTGAATAGAGGTTGGTTTTTCTAGATTTCGTATAATTTCATATGTTGATGAAAAATGATTTTGTATCCAATGAATAAGTTCATTTTCTGTCGATGGAATTTTTCTATAATCCCATCTATCATCTCGAGATCGAAAATTTAATAATCGAAGATTAGACATTCCTTCAATTAGATTAATAACACTATTTCGATTTTCAATTTCAATTGAAAGAACTTCACATTGATGTCCTAAATCCGAATTAGCAAATGCAATACATTCATCTTTAGTAAATTCATTACACCAACTAAACATTCCACCTAATTCAACTCGACGAATTGTTTTACTTGTTAATTGAAATAATTTATTACTAAATTTTCTCCAAAATATAATTCGTAATGAATACAAACGAGGTGCTCGATTAAATAATATTTGTAATTGATCATAAGCAGATGCAATTTGTATTCTTGCCGTTAGTGAAGTTAATTGATTAAAAATAATATTATGTGAATTAAAATGATTTTCAAATGGAAGTACAACATCAAGAGAACGAAGATTTGGAAATTTATCACAAACAAGATTAAAATTATGTAATAACATACTTTTCCTATAACTATTTTCGAACATTTCAACACATTTATATGATCGATATTTTTCTTCATCATCACAAGTAGATCTCGTATTACATTCATTTAAATAATAAATTGTCTTGAATGCATATGGAAGTGTATAGAGAAAAGCATATGTAGTTATTTCTGATAATTCCCAATCACAACGCACATACCATCGATGTTCTTCAATCCAAAATCTTGTATTAAAACTATCAAGTAATTGATTAACACTTTTTTCGACATCAGTATCATTTCCTTCAAATTCTAATTTCATTTTTAATTGAAATATTTCAATTTTAGATAAATACTCATTTAATATTTGTTTCCATACATTTCCATCCATAATTAAATCCAATGTTCCGATTTTTAAATGAGTTAGATTAGGCATTTGAGATAAAATAGTTTTCAATGAATCGATTGAACCTTGATAATATATTTTTAATGATTTCATTGATTGAATAATAGCATCAAGATTTGTATTAGTAGAATAAGAATAAATTGTTGTAGAAAGTTGTTCTAAATTAGGTGTACAATTTAATATACAAAATAAATAAGATAAATCACATGAAATATTTTCAATAAAAAGTTTCTTAATTGTTAATGATATTTTCGACATAAATAATAATGAAAAACATTTTAATTCAATACCATCTAAATTACAATAGGATAATTTTGGTATATTCCATATATTATGAAATAAATTTATACAATTTTTTAATTTTTCATTAATATTACATTTAATTATCGTAAGATCAGTAAGATAAATAAGGTTTTTACAATAATATGTTATTTCAATTAATATATCAAGCGAAGGAATATAATGCAAATAAAGTGATTGTAAATAAAAAAATTTATCAATTGTAAAATTAGATGAAAAAAGAAGATTAGATAAATTCGGTGTTTGTTCATTTGAAAGACGAAGTGAAATAATATGATGAGTTAATGATGATAAATATTTTTGTGAAATTAAATCAAAATTATCTTTTGATATAAATTCTAGATTTAATTGATGAGTTTGTAAATAAATATAAATAAGGTGATTAAAACGATTATTATAACCAAAGAAACTACGAAGAAGATAAATACAATCAAAATATTCAAATAAATCCAGTAATAATTCATTTGGTAACATTTCAAGTTTCATTTTAGATATCATTTTTTATCTTCAATAATTTTTGTATAGAAAAAAAATAAACACAATATTTTTTCTTTTTATGTCATGTGCTTTTTCTCTCTCTCCAATAGGTATAATATGTATCATACGAAAAAAATTGTATGTTGCTTATCTATATTGTATTATACAAGCTTTTTTCCGTTCAGAAGCTTTCTTGATTGGTCACAGAATGAAAATCAAGGTACTTATAAATGTGCATATATTTATGTTGTGTATACGTATTTCTTATCTATCGATTCATTATTACGTATATATATTTGACTCATATTTTGTATTATTAAATTTTCTGAAAATAGAATTAATACAAGAAAAGAACAAATTATACTTCATCTATCTTTTTTAAGAAAATGGCAGATAAACAACAAACGTAAAATGAATACATAAAAACATATCGCGAAAGATATTTTAAATCGACTATTTTCAGATCTTTAAATTTTGTTCATTCGATTGCCAATTATCTTGACCTGTAGGTTGAATATCAACATTTATGGAAAGATCTCGGTTGAGCTTGGTTTTGCAGTTTAGTCAAGTAATTCGTATATCCTGAATAGAAACAATAGGCTTTCTAACTATCTCAGTCCTATAATTTGAGGATGTGGGTATAAAAGCATCATGGCCAACTGAGACTCACACACCCGCACCCTATGCGATTCTGATACTTTTTCATGATCTTCAAACAAAACAAGTACATTAATAGACATCGTTGACCTTTTCTTTCGGCGAATAAAATAGTTATCGTTTGATTCACGTCGCTTTACATTATGCGGTATGCATAAAACCAAATCTGCTGATAATAGATGACAATGAAATAAAATAAAAAGGGTAAATATTTTTCTTCCTTTATTTTGTAAAATTACTTGTCATCATCATGATGAAAGAAGAAAAGAAGCATATATAAAAGGTCGATACTCCTTGTTTCTTTTTTTATTATTAGCCAGTCTTCTTGATACACGCGGTTAAAAGTATTTTTCAAGGTGAGATAACAATGCTCGTTATTATAATTCTTTTTTTTTGTTCTCATAGAAATGTCCTCGTCTGTTTTCGTAATTGGTGCTAGTGGTTACATTGGTTTAGGTGTAGCTCAAGCCTTTCGTCGTGCTGGATATCGTGTCTATGGATTGATTCGTAACGAAAAATATTCAAATATTCTATTACAAAACGAAATTGAACCAATCGTAGCACAAACATTTGATGATCTTCAGTCATTTGCTGATACACTGGCTTTATGTTCAGTCATTGTTGACACTGTTGGTTATAACGCTAAACTTTCATCTAGTTTACTTGAAGTAGCTATACAAACTGGAAAAACTAGAACAGAAAATGGTAAACTTTCTCATTATGCACCACTCTATATTTTCACTTCGGGTATTATGACTTGTAAGTATCGGCATTTCGATGTGAAAACAGTTTTTCTTTGTACAATCTATTACATTTTTTTTCGTTTTAGATGGTGATACATCTTCAACAGGACGACGTCCTGTGGATGAAATGGTAAAACCACGAGCTGCTAATCAAGGAGCTAATAATTCATCTTCAGCTAATGTCTCAGCTATGAAAGATCGTGAAGATTTTGAAAATCATATTTTAGCTGTTTCATCTACATCACTTAAGACAACAGTTGTTCGTCCTGGTTTTGTTTATGGTGGACAAGGTGGTTTTGTAGCTAATTTATTCTATTCAGAAGCTTTAGTTATTCAAGGACGAAGAGATATGCGTTGGAGTTGGGTTCATGTTGATGATCTTGGTAAAGGTTATGTTGCTATAGCAAGAGCTCCACGTGTTGTTGTTGATAAACAACGTAAGATTCTTTTCTTTTTGTATATATTCATATTTCTACCTAACTCATTCACATTTAGTTTATAATTTGGCTGCACCAAATGACAATCCAACATATGAAGAATTAAAAACTGCAATGGCTAAAGCTCAAGGTCGAAAAGAAACTATTGAATATAAAGAAGCGGATAAGGATGTACCAACAAGATGGAATACAGATTCGTAAGTTATTTATTTTGATGATAAATAATTAATATCTTTTATTTGTATAATTAGTATTATCAATCCCGCTAAAGCTATCAATGAATTAGGATGGCATCCAAGACATGTAGGTTTTGTTGAAGAAATTGGAATTTACTATAAAGCATGGGCTGCTCATCAATCTACTCAAGAAACAAAATCATCTGAACATGCCTAATAATCATTAACAATATTCAAATAGAGACAAAATACATTTTTATTATAAATAAATTTCACTTTTATATAATTGAATTTTGAATCCTTCTTTTCAATAGTTTCAATATGAAATACCATCCTTATAAAATATTATGTGTAATTACGAGAGATAATATTGGTCTTGTTTTATCGATCTTCTAGTATAATACTTGTATAGAAATAGCGAGATAGTCTAGATGAGTTTCTATCGTTGATACTATTGCTATTGATTTTCATACTTCTATATGTTCTATTGTTCCAATAATTCCGGATGATATCGATAACAATGATAATGAAGTTCAACTATTTTCAATTCGAAAATATATAGTAGTCTCGTAGCACTCCAATCACGTTTTGTATGACTCAAGTCAAACTCAAGTTCATAATCCACCTTCTACTAATTAACTTCAGTTCATGTTTTATAATTTAAAATATTACGATACTTTTAAACGACCTTATATAATTATCACACTTTTTTCTATATTAGTTGCAAAATAGATAGAAAAATGAAATACTATATTTAAGTCTATAAGTTATCCTTAGATTAAGATATGTTTACTGTAGTAGAGGAAATCAAATATTTCCCTAACAATAGAAATGTGTAACTCTTGTGCAAGACATGAGTAATATTATTAAAAATTTCTGACGTGAATTACATGACATCGTATGTGAGTATTGAAAAGATCAGCTTATAGAAGTTATAAATGATATGAATAATAACACTGATCATCTCGTTGATATATGTCATTATTTGGTGATGGTGGCACGTCAGGTATGTTATGACGTTTTCTATTATTATACCAATATTTATTGAAATATTCAGGGAGTATTGAGAAAATGTGTTCAGTAAATGACGTTGATTAAATATTTATTTATTATTCATGTGGGAAAACCGTGTTACTAGTATATATATACTTCTAAGGTTTAAGATAAATACTGTTGTATCCATAGCTAAACTCATATCCTATAATCACTTCATTCAATTATCTCAAGACTTCAGTGTAATAATGCATGTATTAATAGCTTCTACAGGTATGAAAGAATATAATAATAGGCAAATGTATATTATTTTCTTTTAAGGCTTACTCCTCACTCTATTCTTCTGTGACTGTCAGAACGATGATTCCAGTTCGACTTCATTCAATTTTATTACAGATAGTCCGATAACACCTAGTATGTAAAGCTCTTTCTCTCTATGAATATATATTTATTATTGGTGTTTTTTAGACAATACAAAAGTTTATGATACAACTTTCTCTATAGATGTTAATACTACTTTTAGCAATGTTACAACGACGCCTCCTCCAAGTTAGTTAACGAAATAGTTGATCTGATAAGTTAATGTTTAAAATTTTCTTTAGATAAAAATAATTTAAGTCTTATTCTTGGTCTTTCACTTGGTCTTGGTATTTTTGTACTTCTGATCTTGTTGATGGTTTTTATGTATTGTTCGAAAAGAAAACGATTGGATTTTATTAGACGACATCTTACTAGATTTTAATTATTAGAAAAAAGATACTTATATGTTTAAATGTATTCCTGAAAAAATAAGAGATAATACATGTATTTTTACTAAAAATATCAATCTTTCAATAAATGGATAATTAAAATAAAAGTCATTAGAGTAGTACAGGTAGTTTGTATAATACATTTTATATAAACTCGAATCAAACAAAGAAATATAACAACTTAATATCTTTGCGTATAACATGCTGAAATAAAGCTTTTAATTATTAAAATTGATCATTTCATATTATATAATTCATTTGTTTAAAATAGAATTCTAAAAGAAACAATACAGCAGTGATTATTATCTATACTAGATTACAAGTAACGCTCATCTTTGAATTCGCTGACCCTTTCTTAAAAGAAGGGTGTGAATGTAGGTGGGTGTAGTTAATGTATTCATCTTATACCCACACCCAACATATTTAGTTAATTCTTTTCCATCCATCGTCGAATCAATTTTAATATTTAAAACCATTCTTGCTTCTTCTTCCTTTTCAGCTGTTTCATAAAATGTTTTTATAATTAAAGAACTTAAATCAAAAACATCTTTATTTTTGGTATCGTATACATATAATCAATAAAACGATGTATAAATTTTAATAATTAAAATTGATGTTATGAATGATAATGTTAAATCAAATTTAATATCAAGTTGATCAATAACAAATAATGATATATGTTTATTATAAATTTCTATTAACGTATTTTTTATAACTGATGTTAAAATTTTTAATATAAATTTTTCTAATGCATTTCAACGATGTTCGAAACGAAACGATGTATATTTTCCAAAAAATATTGAACAAAAATGATCAAGTAAATTTATTTTAATAATATAACGATAATTAATAAAAGAAGTTCGTTTTATTCTTGTGTACTTTTTATGAAGTTCCATACTTTTTAATGGAAAATAATCTGCTATAAATGTATGTAATATACGACAATGATAGATATATTTGTAGAATATGATTAAATTGTTCATATAATATTAATAAGAGATTATCAATAATAAAGTTTTTTTTTAATAATATTCCAATTAATGACTTATCATCAAGATTTATTGAACAATATAATAAAGAAAATAATGGCCAACAAATACAAATAACTTTTTCTCGACTACATAAATCAAGAATAACTGTATGAAAAGAAATAATTCAACGACATCGATCAATAGTTTTTATTTCTCCAATATTGTTTATAACAAAATGAGGTGCTATTGTATCAAGCCAACTAGTAATCTGATGTTTACATACCAGAATCAGTATGAATACGATTTGGTTTTAAAAGAATATGGTAAAACTTCATTTAGCTAAATTAAAAAAAACAAAAGAAAAATCTGTAATATTGTATTGGAAAGAATTCATTTACTGGAATGCATAAATAAATAATATAATCAAATGGAGCTTGTAAACAGCATTGATTATCAATAGTTAAAATAATATTTGCTTTATCATAATCTTCTTCATGAATTATCATTTCCTAAAACAAAACAAAAACAATTTAATTTAATTGTTATCTAAAGGTAATGAAATATAACTTTATAATTTTTATAAACAGATCGAAAAATTTGAGCTAATTAATTGAAATAAATCAATATGATATTTCCTCTGATGCAAAAATGAAATTATATATTTGATAGCCGATTACTCCTGTTTAAATATCGAACTTCAATTAAAACATCTTTTAAATAAAATTATTGATATTTAAATCTCGATTCAAATAAATGAGAAATATCTTTCTGACAACATTGTTTTAATTGTATAGTCAATGAGGCAAAAAAAATAAATCTTAATTATATCGATAAATAATCCAGAATTTATTGTCGATATAGTTCATTCAATTCTTTATGATTAACTTAATAATTTTAAAAAACTGATAATTATCGAATTTTATTGAACTTTTAAATTTACCTTGAAATAATACCCATATATAACAATCCAATGAAGTTATAACTGTATCAAGCCATTGTTAAACAAACGCACATGAAAATTATTCATGCATATCGATTAAACATGCTGCATTCAATAAATTCACGTTAATATTTTTTTCTTCTCTTCACTTGTTGTACTTTCAAATTTACATAAAAGCAAAATTTATTTTATAAGCAAAACTTTTGTTTTATTTATATATCCATAGATAAATATTGTCGTCTGCTTCGACTTATAGTTCAAAATATTTCGGAATTGATCGAATAACTGTTTTTGTTTCAAACAAAAAACAAATAATGTAAACATCAAGCCACGCTTGGTTGTTTCTATTACTAGCTTATAACGGTGGACGTCCTTTAAAAATGAAGATATGTGTGATAGAGAGCGAGAGAAGGAGACTGATAGAATGATGGTGCATTGTATTGAGTGAAAGAAAAAATGATTGTTTTTATTATTGTTTGTTTAAAAGATGTAGTTGGAAGCTCTACTAACGCGAACGACAAACAATGGAATCTTGAAATTTGTCTTGTGAAATAAAAAAAAGTCAGAGTCTATCATCATACTCCAAGATTATCGTAATTCTATAGTGAGGGATCTTGTAGAACCGTATACCCTCACCTTTAATAAAACTTATAGTAAATTGAATATGAAATCTTGAGCTTACGCAAATAATAAGACGTTGCTCATGCTCATTTCATATATTTAGCAAGGTTCGAAAAAAGATAAGTAGAATATATTTTGAATTTTTATTTTTATTAAAATATTAAATTATAAAAAAAAATACAAAAAGATATGAAGAAAAAATAGACAAAATATTGAAAACATCAAAGAAAAAAAGGAGTACGGTATAAAAAAAACAAAACAAAAACTAACTAATAGACATTAAAAGAGGAGGAAGCTATGTAATACATAATGTCTTTTAATGAAAGTAGCAGTGCTTGATTATAATATTCGACTTTGGATGTGATGTGCGTCTGTACCATGTATCCTAAAAGAAAAATAGTTAGTTAGTTCAATGTCATAAAGTGCTTCAAATTGATAATTTCAAAGAAGAATGTATAAATGACGAGACAAAATATCAGGACGTTGTCTCATTTAGTTATCATTGACCCATTATTGATACGACATACCTGTCTTAGTTTTCAGGACTCTTCTATTCAAGTATTCTTCTCATTTCGAGAAAATGATCACGGACATACAACTATAATAACCAAATTTATGACAAATGAATAACGCATAGCAAGATTCTATTCAAATACTTTCTCGAGTTGAAAGAAAACATTTCCAGTTCATTCCATGGTGGGGGACACACTACATATCAATAATTCACAGGAATATTCTATTCACACATATTGCTCGGTCTAAAGCATACATTTTGAGTTCATTGCATGCTAGAGCAATACAGAGCAAATGAATACTTCATATTAAGATTCTATTAAAATATTTTGTTCGGTTCGAACCAAAGATTTCGAGTTTATTACATGATGGAGCAGCACACCACAAACTATCAATTCATAACAAAATTCTATATAAATATTTTCCACACTTCGAAGTAAAGATTTCGAGTTAATTACATGGTGGAGGAACGCTCAACAGATGAGCAGCTCACACAAACATTCATTTCAAATACTTTCTTGAGTTCGAAAGAAAGATTTCCAATTCATTCCATGGTGGAGAACTACACAACAAATGAAAAATTCAAAGTAAGATTCTATCGAAATACTTTCTTCAGTTCGAAGCAAAAACCTCGAGTTCATTACATGATTCAGAAACACGAAACAAATGAATAATTCATAAGAACAGTCTATTCACATATTTTATTCAGTTTAAGAGAAGATTTTGAGTTCATTTCATTGTGGAGTAATACAAGACAGATGAAGAATTCAGAGCAAGATTCTATTCAAATAATTTGTTCAGTTTGAAGCAACCATGTCAAGTTGATTACATTGTGGAGAAACGCTAAGTAAATGAGCAACTCAAACAAACATTCATTTCAAATACTTTTTTGAGTTCGAAGCAAAGATTTTACGTTTATTCCATGGTGGATAACATGCAGCAAATGAATAATTCATATCAAGATTCTATTCAAATACTCTCTTCGGTTGGAACCAAAGATTTCCATTTCACTACATGTTGAAGAAACACAAAACCAATGAATAATTTATAGCAACATTCTATTCAAATACTTTATTCAGTTCGAACGAGATATATCAAGTTGACTGGAGGGTAGAGGAACACACGAAGAATGAAGAATTTAAAATAAGATTTTATTCAAATCTTTTTTTCAGTTCGAACAAAAACTTTTGAGTTCATCACATGGCGAAGGAACATACAAGAAATGAATAATGCATAGAAAAATTCTCTTAAAATATTTTGTTCACTTCGAAGCCAAAACCTTGAGTTGATTATATGACAGAGAAACACGATACAAATGAATAATTCATAGTAAGATTATATTCAAATACCTCGTTCAGTTTAAACCAAAGATTTCGAATTCATTACATTGCGGAGGAACACACGACAAATGATTACTTCATACCAAGACTCATTTCAAATACTTTCTTCAGTTTGAAGCAAACATTTAGAGCTCATTCCATACTGAAGGCATATACAACAAATGAACAGTTCATATCAAGATTATATTCAAATACTTTGCCAAGTTCGAAGCGAAAAACCCGAGTTAATTACATGCTGGACGAACACACGACAAATGAATAATTCATAGAAAAATTCTCTTGAAATATTTTGTTCACTTCGAAGCGAAAATCTCGAGTTCATTATATGATAGCGAAACACGAAACAAATGAATAATTCATAGTAAAATTCTGTTCAAATATTTTGTTCAGTTCGAAGAAAATATTTATATTGTCTTGCATGATAGAGGAACACGCAATAGATGCCCAGGTCAAACAAACATTCATTTCAAACACTTTGTTCAGTTCGAAGCAAAGATTTTGCGTTCATTCGATGGTGAAGGACCACGCGACAAATGATTGATTCATATCAAGATCCATTTCAAATACTTTGTTTATTTGAAAGCAAACCTTTCGAGTTTATTAACTGGTGGAGAAACACACGATAAATGAATAATTGATAATAAGATTATATTCAAGTACTTTGCCCAGTTCAAAGCAAAGATTTTCAGTTCACCAGAGGGTGAAACAACGCACAAGAAATGAGACAATAAAAAGAAGATTCTATTCAAATGTTTCGTTTAGTTCAAAGCAAAGATTTCGATTTCCTTGCATGATGGAGGAACACACAACAAATGCCCAGGTCAAACAAACATTCATTTCAGATATTTTATTCAGTTCGAAGCAAAAATTTCAGGTTCATTCCATGTTAGAGGCACACACGCGAAATGGGTAATTCACACCAACATTCTATTCAAATATTTTGGGCAGTTCGAACCATATGGTTCAAGATTATTGGATGGTGGAGGGGCACACGATAAATGAATAATTCATAGTAAGGTCATATTCAAATACTTCGTTGAGTTCGAAGTAAAGGTTTCAACTTCATTATAAGGTGGACGAACACATCACAAATGAATAATTTCTAAGAAGATTCTTTTGAAATATTTTCTTCACTCGAAAGCACAGGTTTTGAGTTCCTTACATAATGGAAGAACATACAACATATGAATGGTTTATATAAGGATTCATTTCAAATACTCGGTTCAGTTGGAAGCAAACATTTCAATTTCACTACATGTTGAAGGGATACACAACTGATGAATACTTCATATCAAGATACATTTCAGATACTTTGTCCAGCTCGAACGAAATATTTTGAATTCAGTAGAGAGTAGAGCAACGCACAAGAAATGAGAGATTGAAAAAAAGATTCTATTCAAATGTTTTGTTTTGTTCGAAGCAAAGATTTCGATTTCCTTGCATGATGGAGGAACACACAACAAATACCCAGGTCACACAAGCATTCATTTCAGATATTTTGTTCAGTTCGAAGCAAAAATTTCAGGTTCATTCTATGTTAGTGGTACACACGCGAAATGGGTAATTCACACCAACATTCTATTCAAATATTTTGGACAGTTCGAACCATATGGTTCAAGTTTATTGAATGGTGGAGAAGCACACGATAAATGAATAATTCATAAGAACAGTCTACTCAAATATTTTATTCAGTTCGAAGTAAATATTTCAACTTCATTAGATGGTGGACCAACACACCACAAATGAATAAGTCATATCAAGATTTTATTCGAATATTTTGTTCAGTGCGAAGCAAAGATTTCGGTTTGCTTGCATGATGGACGAACATACAACAAAGCAGCAGCTCAAACAAGCATTCATTTCAAATATTTTGCTCGGTTCGAAGGAAAGATCTCGAATTCATTACATGGAGAAGGAACACTCAACAGGTGAATAATTCAATTAAGATTCGGTTCAAGTATTTCCCTCAGTTCTAACGAAAGATTTCCACTTGGTTGAGTGTCGGGGAAACGAACGACGAATTCATAATACACAGCAAGATTTTATTCAAAATATTTTGTTGACTTCGAAGCAAAGGTTTCGACTTTATCACACGGTGGATTAACGTGTGACAAATGAATAATTCGTAGGAGGATTGCAGTCAAATAATTTGTTCAGTTCGAGAGAAAGATTTCAAGTTTATTCTATTGTCGAGGAACACACAATAAATGAGTAGTTCATAGCAAGATTGTTTTCAAATATTGCGTTCGTTGCGAAGCGAAAATGTGAAGTTAGTGATATCGATGGAGATCATATGGCAATTAACTGTTTTGGTTAGAGTTCTATTCGAATATGGGGATGTTACTTATATAGGGTATGGATGCTATGCTTAGAAGAAAAACTTCGTTGAACATGAGCAATCCGTACGCTTGTTGATTAAGTGATGAAGCATATTTTTTGCAGCGGGATGTTCACTTGGTACACTCTGAGCCATATGAAGTATTACCATTAATATGATGATGCCACAAGTGATTTTAGTGATGTTGTTGTTCATGATAATTAATTATTGTTCGAAGTCGATTGATAATAGGATATGAATATGCTTGTGTAAATTATGAGGATTTGCTTCGGCTTTATATAGGCCGATCGCCAAGCAAGAAGCAATCTACGAAAAAAAGTTGTTTTTTCTTCGTCGGAGAGAGACAGACAAAGAGAGAGTATCCTATCTGGCTGTAGAGAGGGATAAAGTTTATTTTTGGCTTGTATACAATGACGCAGAGAGAGGGATTGTTTAGTATATACAGTTAGATAAAGACGTAAGCAGATTATTTTTAGCTCGTATATAGTGACTCAAAAAGAGGGATTGTTGAGTATGTACAGGTGGATATAGGCATACGCAATTTATTTTTTAGTTCGCATACGATGACTCAAAAAGAGGTATTTTTGAGTATGCACAATGGATATATAGACATACGCACTTTATTTTTTAGTTCGTATATAGTGAGTCAAAGAGAATGATTTTTTTATATGTACAGGTGTATATAGTCATGCGCAATTTATTTTGTTAGTTCGTATATAATGACTCAAACAATGGGATTCTTGAGTAGACACAGTTAGATAAAGACGTAAGCAGATTGTTTTTAGCTCGTATATAGTGACTCAAAAAGAGGGATTGTTGAGTATG